AATGCAAAGACAAGACATGAGCAACACCTTCCACTTGTTATCTCATTTTGTGTGTGTGTGTGTGTGGTTTCTTTTGTGGGGTGGGAGTGTGACGACGAAATCAATAATTGGAACAGTAACACGGCGAGAAATATAATCAAAATTACACGCCTGTGAATTGGGAGAGTTTTGGGGGAAGTGAAGTGTAGGTTGGGTGTAGAGCACGGGAGACGCGGGCTCGGGCAGCGACGATTTAGAGTAGACTAAATCGCTTGCCGCGACGCTTTGCTAACCGTCTTGGGCGCCAGCGTTGTTGCCGGCAGAGACGTCGACGGTGGCAGAGTGGCCAGGGCCGGATTCAGGTTCGAGGGTATTATATTGTATCACAATATTTATTCCTACACAGAGAAGCCAGAATGCCTCAATTTAAAGATATCAGATTCTCTCTGTATAAAAACGATTATCTAATAAATAAACAATACACAAAATAATAAAAAAAACCTTCTTAAAAGTATATATTTAATCAGGGATAGTGGAAAAGCTCTAAGCTATATTTTTGGAATTTCGACTACGAATTTTAATTTGATTTTTCAGGAGAAATTAATTTTCCTAATATTAGAGTCCTTCTCCCTGAATGCGGACCTGGGCTGGTGCGTTGGCGTAATCGCCTTTCTTGCCTCCTCTTCTTTTGCGTACCGTGTTGGTCTTTTTGGCGTTTGTTTTGTTTATGGCGCTTTTCTAAGCGCACAGTGGTTATACAGTTATTTGTATAGGAAATTAGTTTTAATAGAATTCTTAATCATTTCAAAGAAATGTGTCAAAGATTTATTTTATTGAAACGAACTCAAACCCTCAAAATGGGGGTTTTTTTCCTCGCACTCAATTTTAAATTTATTTACTATTTGGAAACGGGTTTCAAGTCAATTATTCATATTTAAAGGTTCTGTTTTAAGGCATTATCTTGCACCGATTTGATTCCAGAACCTGTTCTGCATATATTTCAATTAAGCTTTAATGACATTTTTTTTATGCTTCGCGCACATTTTGATTTATTGATTGGTAAACATGTTTTTCAAAAGCAATCAACCTGCGGGTTTTCACCTATTTATACCGCACATTGACTTTTCATGCTAACCACTGTGGGCCAATTATGCGTGTTTCATGTTCGAAAGGTGACTTTTATAAAGGTATTTCTCCCCTCAGTCTGGTTAAACAAAACACCCCGAAAAGCTTTCTTTGCCTAGTTTATGGCATACAAATCGATCCGCAACAATGTGCGGTATGTAAATATATTGAAAACTGAAAACCTGAAACCAGATGCCAATGACAAAAGCATCGGATTGGGAGAACAATAGTGACACAAATTGGACGACAAAAAGCATATATACATATATGTATATAGGGGGGGCTTTATCAATCACGACTTTCACCGAAAATAGCCAAACGATGGAAAATAAGCCTCGCGCGCAGATGATGCAATTGCCCACTGTGCTCTTAAATGTTTTACACACTTGTCCCAGGCTGTTTATCAATGCCCACTGTTGTTGTTTTTTATTGTTATCGTTTTTTTTTTTTTTTTGTTTTTGCCACACGTATCGCTAGTAGCATGTATGTGTGTAAGGTGTAAACGCACAATTGCAGTTGAAATAGTAGCCGTCGCCGGTTAAGTGATCATGCACTGAATAAGCATTTGGGAATTTTATTTAAAGTGACAAGCTACAACACACTCTAAGGGTATAATATTAAAAGGTTTTTTATGGTTTTTTCAAGGTTTAACAATCTTTAGTACCCTTTTAAAACATTATAAATATTTATTTTTGTATATATATAAAGACATTTTAAATATTCTGTCACTAAAAAATGTATAATATAAATAATTGCCATTTATAGTAGTTTACTTGAAGTCTTTATAGCCTTTGATTAATAATTAAGATATTTTATTCATAGATTTTGTATTTATAAAGAAAATACTAATTTACAAATATTTAGAATGTTTATCCAAGTATTTTTATGTGGATTTGCAGTACATTTTTTATCGTTTAACTATTACTTTAACCACAACTGTGCCTTTTTTGTTGGGTCACCGCTGCCTTTTGCCGTTTGATTTTGTATCTCTGCAGCAGGCCCAATTACGAGTGCATTACTCACTGCAACGATAGCGATACACTATTGATATTGCCCGCGGAAGATGCAACGTCAATTGGCAGTGCAACTTGCCACACCAACACACCCACACACCCACTCACACAAAACTGAAATTGCAGCTGCAATCGTCACGTACGCGGCTTAATTAAATGCGCTCGACACTCGCATGGCACACCACACCGGGCATCGCATCAAAATCAACAACAAAATTAACGAAAGCGACGGTGAGCAGCTAAAGGGACGGCGGTTGACAGGCGACTAAAATACTAAAATAAAGCCAAGCGACTAACTGGCCTGGCCAAGTGGCACACAAAAAAGGCACACACACACACACACGTAAAGCACACGGCAACCGAAAACAAAAAATAAACAAAAAATCAACAGAAACCAAAAACCAAAAACTGAAAACCGAAAAATCCAAGCAAAACAACAGCCGTGCAAAACAATACCGAATGGGAATAGGAATACGAATACGAAAGCTATAGAAATGGTAATGGAAATAGATGTAACCAAAAAGCTAAAGAAATACCGGCCGCACCTCTGCCACTGTCGGCGTCGTCGTCGCTGCCTCAGTCGACGTCAGCGGCCCACGCAAACGTTAAAACGGAAAAGGGAGAGACCCCAAAAAGTGGGGAATACATGGGCATTAAGCCAACTTTTTAAATACCCAACAATGGTAACAAAGTTCCTAAAATATATCTTTAAAAAATGAAATACTCAAAAAGATACAAAGAAATAGATATGCATACGGAATAATATACTTATTATATATTTATTTAACAATATATATTTTCGTTAATCTACATATTCATAAATTAAATAACTCACTTGATGAAAAAACACTCAAGACCCGGTTTGAAATAACCGAAATACCACCTTGTTTTTACTGCCAACCTGAACTGTTTGTCGCTTAAACACATTGGGAATTAGAGTGCAATGCAAACGATAAGTAAGACTATTATAATTATTTATATATTATACATATATCCGTGTGTGCAGTGTTAAAAAACAGTTCTTTGCATTTTGCACTACATTTATTTTATTTTTTATTACTATGCTAATTAAATTTAAGGCTTTTTTAACATTATTTTATTAGAGGTGTGTAGCAGATAATGTATTTATATTTTCATACCTATGCAACTATAACTTTAGTCAGAAGCTTGCAACTCTTGAAGGATTCATTTCCGACCCTATAAATCATATATATTCTTGATCAGCATGAACAGACGAGTCAATCTAGCCATCTCGGAAAGAAAAATTTTTTTTTTAATTTTTTCAAAATTTTATAAGGGTTACATCATTAAAATTATCAAAAATTTTAATTTTTTTCTGCATTTTTAACTGAGTATGCAGATTTATTAATCTAATGAAAATTAACATAAAACTGCTTTCCGAATTAAAATTAATGCTTTTTTGGCTTACTTATGAGATTTTTAAGCTTTGGTATGGCGAAAAAATTGTTATATAAGAACATCAATTCAAAGAATTTGAATATTTTAAACTTAGTTATGTTCGATTTACGATTCTATCTAGTAATTCCTTTACAAACTGCATGGGAATATAAACTTGGGCTTCCCGAAGTTATTTTCTTATCTTGTTGAACCTAGTATATATTTAATTTAATAAATGAAAAGTAAGTAGTGCACCAAACTATAAAAATATAAGAAATTCATTTGAATTTATTTTAAAAATCTCTCTATCATAATATCACTATCGCAAATACACACTGATATCTGTTACTTGTTATCATTTATGTCTTGGTAGCCCCTTAGCAATTTTTAATTTAAAATTACGATAGGAAAATACACAGGGATGATGATACAGTGAAACGTCATTTAGTAGTAATGAAAGTTGGCACATGAGTTCATAAATTAGTTAATCTTTCTCGGGAACTTTTTTATCAACGACCAAGTGAGTCACACTGTGGCAATGGGGGTTCTTCAGCTGATATGCCTCACGTGTGGAATAGGGCATATTAAACGCCACTCGAATGAGTTTTGAATAATATTTACATTTATTCACATGAGTGTGAGTCTCACTGAGCGCGTGTATGAGTGGGTAATTTGAGTGCAGACTGAAAAATTATTATTAATGGCTTAATTTGTGATTTATTTTTGATTAGTTTTAAATTAAATAAACAATATTATAATGTTTTTCTCTTTTGAGAAGTAGGTTTATTAATTTTTTAGTAACTAAAGTCTGGCCTACTGAAAAATAAAACAATTTAATGAATATTTCTCGCAGTGCTGTGGAGGAGGCCAAAAACGCGAGCGAGTTGCGTTGTTAATGTGCGCAAAACAATGCTGAAACTTTTGAGGATGGGTGCCTGAGTACTGGGGAACTGGGTACTGGGTATTGGGGCTCGTCTCAGCGAAATATAAATGACGAAATTATAGTAGCAACTCGTTATAAACAATGCACATTAAATGCCAACAAAAGCATAAGAAGCCAGTCTAAATACAATCGTTTCGCATGCCGACTTCAAAAGTAACCTAAAGAAACACTCATGATTTTTAAATTCAGGTGTAGATTTGCCAAGAAAGGTAAAACCAGAGATCTAATAAATCGGAAAATCCGGAATAATATGTAACTATATCTTTATAATTTCAAGTACCTCGATTATTAGTCTCAAGAGTCTCTTTAAAAATGACTCACTGCACTTGGCTTAAAGAGAGATCACACTTTTGAAGCATGAATGTGCTTCACTGATAAGTTTGTAATAGCAAAACAGTTGTTGCCTCTACTTAAAGATTTTAATGAATTTTTTATTCGCTATATTAAAATATTATTATTTAATTGATTTCAACAAATTTGGACTCTCTTGTATCGAGCTTACAATATTTTCAAATAGAAATTTTTTTAATCTAATTGCATCGGAAGCGGAATAAAATATTTATATAATATGCTAAAAAAAAACCATTGAATTAGATAATAACGATTCCCAATATCGATCCGATACCGATCCTAGACAACGCTTTCCAATATGCTCACCGAGGAAGAGGTGCGGAGTTCGCATAGCTCCTGCATGAGATCCCGAAAGAGCATCGGGTTCACGTTGACACTGACCTTCATCAAGAGGAACCAGTCACCGATGGTCAGGTCCCGCAGGGCACGTTTCACGTGCCGTATGCTCATTACCCGCAGCTTGCTGCGGATCATCTGCTCCCGCAGGTAACTGCTCAGGATCATTGCCAGTCGGCAGATTAGATTCACGCCGGCCATCATGGCTATCAGCAGGAACCAGGCCCACAGGAACACGAAGATTTTCTCATTCAGGATATTCAGTGGCAGGATGCACAGGTTGTCCATGATGGTCGCAGTGCCGCTGGCTCCGAACTTTAGCACTTCGCATTTCGCGATCTTTGGAAAGACACTCGAGGTGATGCTGTTCCAGCGATCCCAATCGTACAACGGTATGGAGGCCAGAGCTTGAAGGTAGTTTGTCCAGAATCCGTTTAGGAAAACTTCCAACACCATTATGTTTACTACCTGCGGGGTAACTGCTTTTAGCTGGATTTGTTAATAGAAAACCCTTTCTAAAAAGATGATTCACCTTTGATTGGGGATTTGTGTTTGCAGTTAGTGCAGGTGCTAGTGAAAATTGGAGTACATTTTGCTTGTGTATTCTTAACTTGCTGTTGAATTTCTATTAATGTTTTGTTGTTTGTTGTTGAAAGTATGCCGTGTGCTGTGTAATTGTTGCTAAATGCTGTTACCCTACAGCTCGAAAGCATCGAAGCCCCAAAACCTACTCACACTGATTGAGAAATTGAGGATCTCGCAGATGACGTACTTGGCCATGTAGCTGAGATGAATATCCTCGTAATCGGTGGTAAAATACTTCACAAGGAGGCGCAGACGGGTGTTGTAGGTCTCCTCGGAAAGCAGAGCTTCGCCAACCTCCGAACAGAGCTGCTTCAACCGCTGACCCTCCCACACTTTCCAGAGGCACGAGGGGAAATAGAAGACAAACGCCTCGAAAAGGAGCAGGATAATGACCCATTGGTAGTAGCGAAGGTACACCCTCTGCGATTGACCACGGATTTCGGGCCCTACGCCCTCGGCTATCGACATGGCCCGAGCGTAGGCCTCGTCGTAGTCCATCAGCTGGCGGAGACTTGAGCGGCGATAGGAGGATCGGTAGCGGCTTCGGGACTTGGACAGAGACTGATTGCTCATCAGCTGTGCGGGCAGCGGTGGCGGGAACGGAAGGGGGTCCAGCTTGAGGATATAGGTGCCCATGGTCCAGCAGTAAGACTGGACGTACTCGATATTCTTCTCCTCGGTAATGCACTGAATGGGATCTCCAAAGTACTGACGCGCCGACAGAAGCAGGGAACAAGTGAGCAGGATCACCACTGTGCATTTGGAGTGAATGGTAAAGACGGCGTCGTAAATGCGAATCGATTTAAATTGCAGGTACTTGGAGAGCGGCTTTACCGCCGAATACATTTCTTCTGCCTCCGGGAAGAGTTCTTCGAAGACTGCTTCCAATTCTCACCGCACCGCTCCGCTCCACCTTGGAGCGTATTCCTTTGCGCGTCTTAGTTTCTGATCTCGTCCGCGTCCACGTCCACTTTCTGGTATACGTTTTGGGCCAACTCCTGGTCCACGTCCTGGGCCACGCCTTGGTCCACGTCTTGGTCCACGCCGTGGTCCAAGTTCTGGTCCACGTCCTGGGCCACGTCTTGGTCCTCGTCGCCGAACCCTTCCACGTCTTCGTCCTCGAACCCTTCCTTGTCCTCGGTCCAGCCTGCCGTGTATCTCGCTTACGTGGGCTCCTCGTCTTTAGTGTCGCCGGATCGATCCTAAAGCTCAGACGCAATTGCCGGCCTAGGATGGTAGCCAGTTCACAGTTCAGATCGTCGCTAGGCTCAACATATTTTTTTGTGGGTGCCGTCATTATTACCTACTTTTATTTTCTTTACCTCATTTCTCTCTGTGAGATCTGTCACTGTCACAATAATTATGTATACAAAATTAGCCAGGCATTAAAAGTCTATAAACAAATTCTTTAGAAATAATAAATAATTGAAGCTTGGAAAGGCTTGCCTACTTTTGGGCCTTTGAAACAAAAACCAAACACGAAACCTTCACTTCACTTCGATCACATTGCTCGTTTATTTGTCTTGATCCCAGGTTCAGTTCTTAACTTTATCTAGATCTTTATCTAGAGTGAAAATAATAAATATAATCATAATTCTGTTGATGCTGCGCTTCAGCCTCGACTCTCGGGGTCAGCTCATTGTCGCTCCATTTCGTCAGTCCAAGTTCAGGAATCCAATTATCGAAGGTATCTGCAATTAGACAAGGTGCACACAGCTAATTACCATAAATCAAATAAATTTATATCGCCATTTGGCGACCGACCTTCAGGGTCCAAAAAACTCGGCATCACCTTTTTTGTTTACAAATTACTAGCAAGAAACAAAAGAAAAAATTGTGAACACAATGCCGCATCAAAAGAAAATCACAAATGAAATAATGGGTAAGGGTATAGGGAAGATAGTGGGATTTTTATTTATTTTAAATATAAATATTCAAATGGGTAAAATATAAAATATTTCGAACTAAAAATTGTATTGTTAATTTATTCCTTACCTAGTTTATTAGTTTAAATATTTTTTACAAAACCATAAAGAATTCAATGGCATTATTGAAACAAAACTAGGAAAAAACCTCCATATATAATATATAATATATCGCTCAATATAATAATCAATGAATAATAAACTTTATTGAATTACTAAATTATTATTATTATTGAATTTATTTATTAAATTTTTTTTTTTTTTGAATATAATTTATTGATCATATGCAATATTGATTTATTGCAACTTTAGATGTTAATAAAGAAAAGATAGATCAATCAATCAAGTTTCTAAACATTTTCTTTGAAGATTTTAAAGTAATGTTTTTAACAATAATATAAGTGACTTCAATTCATAAAACAAAGTTTCTTAAATAGTTAAGATACCTCAAGAGAAACCCATACCCACATCTCATACGCATTTGTGAAGGCATCAATTATTTTTTTAAATACATAAACTTAATTAGGAAGTGGCAAATTATGACTGAAGCTCAAATAAAAAAGAAATAGAAATATAATTTATTTGCCATCAATTTCCTGCCAATGGCGGCGCTGCTTTTTGTTCGGGTCTCTAAGTACTTGTGAAAACAAAACTCCAACACCTCCGCGAAGCTTGGAACTTCGGCGAAGCCAAAGAAGATGAAAATTAACCATAAACTGGCGGTGTTCCCTGAACTTGACCTCCATGGCCAGGCCACTTACTGAAAAACCACTCGAAAAACCCAAACGAACACGTCACGATCGCTGCTTTGACTCTGATCGAGCGGCGGGGCACCAAATTGAGCGTTAAGAGCTTCTCGTTTGGCTTCCTTTTGTAATTTCAATACTTATTAATTCTTCTTTATTTTGTTTAATTTGTTGTCTGGCCCCATGAGTTGGCAGGTTTTTCAACATCTTTTGTTGTCTAAATTAAAAATTCAGCAAGAAGTATGCGGAAGTTCAAGACGTATCTGATAGATACAGCTAAGAAGCTTATGTTTGAATTTATTTTTAGAAGTATTTATATGACAAAATATTCTAATAATATTCTTGAGTTAATAATTCTTATTTCTATAAAAACTTAACTAATGTAAATATCTTTTAGCTACTCGTTTGATCAATCTGATTCTGACTTGTCATTTTCCCATTCTAATTCCAAATCTAAAAAACCACTGTCATCTCCCGTCATTATCATCATCGTTCCGCTAGGTTGAGCGCAGTAATAATTAAGATACTGGAGCGCAAAAGGCACAGATACTCGTATAGCTACTCGTACTCTAAGCTACTCGTGCTGCCTGCCTCGATTCCTTGGCTAGTTAGCGTTTCAGCCGCAGATACTTAGATACTTTGCTTAGCCAAGTCACAGTCGAGCCCGGTACTGTATCTGTTTCTACATCTCTGGGCCCCACCGAAACTACAATTGTTTATTTTTTACGAGAATGGCAGGAGGCGGTCGCCATAGGACCATATCTCAATGTCCCCCTCAACATGTGCTGCCCATTACATATATATATATTTTTTTTTATTCGAAACAGTTTAGGCACAGCAAAAAAAAAATATTTAAATAAATAGTAACAATAATTATCGAAGGGTTTTACTTAGATTTATATGTTAATAAATGGAAGACGAGGTATATAGTGCACCTTGTGTAAGTAAGGCTCCTTTAAACTTATTTAAATTATATTACTATATTAATTTCCCTGTATTATTTTGTCTTCCGTGTTAATCTGGTGTTGCAGTGTCTTTTCAATTGCAACATCCACCTGGCCAGGTGTTTTGTGGCCAGAATTGCCTGGGCCAGTTTGCAGAAGGAAAGTGAAAGATCTTGGATAGACTAAACCGTATCAGAGATCACTGAAACCCAATTAACCCCAAAAAAATAAAGACAATAATTAATGCTGCCCCTTAAAATATGCACAAGATTAAATATCTATCTTTTATTATTATTATTTTTAATATTTTCAACTTAATTCAAATGCGAATGCAACCTTCATTTGCTAAACGCTAATAAAGCTAATTGTCTAAATAAAAGCAAAATAATACAGATCAACAAATGCTGACTGAAGGAGCTAATTGGCCACACACTTGTATTAAGTAACACACTTTCTATTAATATTTAAATAAATATATCAAGATTAGCAAAAGTTGGAAAAATTATCAATTATATAAAGAACTAGCTAATATATTTATTTACTAAATTGAAATATTTTGAAATCTAATTTTAACTTTGCAACATTTTCAAAACCCAAAAGTAGCTCAAGAGTTGAAGCCAAGGTTTATTTCGGTTCGGTCAGTGAGAGGTGAAGTTCACCTTGGCTAACCTTTGATTCACAGAGTTCAGTCCAGTTACACACACAATATTTGGCTTTATAATTATATATAGATATATGTATATATAGACCTGATCAATTAGCAAACCACTGACTGGCAATACTGTAAGGTAACTCACTCAAACGGGAAATCACAATGCGTCCGATGGCCCTTTGGCTGGTTGGTAACTGGTTTTCGCCACGTTTCGCTTCCGCGCTAAACAAATTTGATTTATTTATTTATTATTTCCCGCTTGCCGCTGCTCCCCATTCAAGATGATATATGTATGTTGTCTATGGCCCCCCAAAAGCCTTGACCGTGCCCCAAAGATGTAGCCCGTATCTCATATGTTAATTAGCAATTCGACAGATCAATGCTAACACACCATTTGGATGCTGCTCTGCACGCTGCATGATTAGCGAATTTCGGTCAAAATACAAACTATAAACAAGAAAATCGGTAGAGAATGACCGAAAGGTTGTATTTCCCTGGTTAATACAGATGTTATATTCTGGGAAAATAAATATACGTTTCTTTGATTCATTTATTCTGAACCCTTCTAAGATGTATTGCAATTCTTAAGCTCCTGATAATCAGTTCTAAATCTTTATATTGTTAAAGTCCCATATTTTACATTGTATTTTGAGGTACAATTTATAGGGTACTTCGCCTTACATAGCTTGTATAATAAATGAAGCTTTTGTACATCATCTCATTTATCACCCAAATGCTAGGTATCCATTTAAAGGCTTTAAGAGTATTCTTTTCACTGTTAAATGCTAAGTAAAGTTTATTAAACCTAAAAAAATTCGTAGAAATACATTATAACTTTTATAATTGATCCCTCAGTCTTTATTGTTTATTAAAAAATGTAATAAATGTAATATATAAAGCCTTTGAGAGTGTTCTCTTCGTCTCTGAACTTTTTCTCTATAACTGATCCGTCCGTTTTTTCTTTTTTATTAACAAAGAACTATATATAGGGTATCATATATAAAAAGCCCTTAAAAAATATTCTTTCCTATTACTAAATGTAAGGTAAAATTGATTAAATTACAAGAATATATATTTATCCGTGTTAAACATCAAGTTATAGTTAAAAGATATTTCAATTTATCTCCCTGTGTTCTTTATTGTTATATTATCTTATATATATTATTTATTATTGACTGGAACTCGAGTCTGAAGAACATAGCAAATTCTAATTAGGTATAGGTCGCTGCCAAAAAAACAATTATTATTTAAATAATTATTATAATATTATTTTAAATAATTATTATAAAAAATAGCTCTTTATTATTAAGCACTCTTTATCATTACTAATTTATGATAATAACCGTTTCTTTATGTTTTAGCCATTGATGTAGGCAGACTTCTTGACTAGAATTTTTATGTTTTTAATTACATACACATCCGTCCCCTTGACTCACCTTGGTGATAATATCGTCCTCGGGTTGTTCTTGGGGCGGTGCCATGCTGGGGCTTGGATCTGCTCCGCTCTTCCTTGTTTAATTACAAACTATGATGATCTGCACCAACAGTCCATAAATTGTCATTTCTTCTACGTGAAAAACTCGCGAACTCAAACAACAGATAAAAAAAAAATAACAAAAAGGGTGAACAGGTGAAAAAAAGAGATGTGTGTGTTGTTTCTAGGTTCGCGCTTGATCTAGCAAAATGTTTGGAATTAATGCCAGGTAAACAACCGCCTCGTTTGGCGCTCCGTTTGCGACTGACTCCGACTCGCAATATTATCGATAAAGTGGCCAAGTGCCGCGCTTATAGCCGCTTTTGGCCAATAACTGGTTCTGGGCTTTGAGTTCTCGACTCCGAGTTCTCAGTGCTCGGTTCTCTGTTCTCAGTTCTCAGTCTGCGGGCTACCAAGTCTTCAGAAGAATTTAAAATGAATTGGTCCCCACCAGCAGCCCACCTGATGTGACGTCAGGTGAACTTGCCGCTTGAACTTTGAGTTGAAGGCCAGGCCTGAGTCAGAGTTTATGTCGCCGACAAATGGAAATTCAATGAAAATGAAATGTCTGGCATTGCTCATTGCTTATTTCTGAGTTAAAAATAAAAGTAAAATTTATTATTTAAAGGCAATAGCGACTGCAACTGAGAAACTGCAACTAGTTTCGCCCTTGAAACGCTGGCAAAGCGCTTTTCAGTTTTATTGTTTATTTTCTTTTCGCCTTAGTTTGTTAATAATAATAATACCTGCCGGTCTGGTTAGACCATAAAAGCCAACTTTTATTAAAGCTTATCATAGTTTTAATTGCAATGAAGCACCAATTGGTCTCTAACGAATTTTAATTGACTTTTGATCGGTTGTAATTAACGCATTTTGTTGTAAAAATCTATAAAGTGTAACGGCGAGTGCTCTATAAAAATGTAATTATCTTGGGTCTGAAAAGCTATGTTATTTAGTATTACTAACTTGAGATTTTCTAATAATTATTGAATGAATAAAAGAAGCCTAAATATGTGTACTCTAAGTATATTAAATAAATATTTTTATATGATAATTTTTTGGGTAAATCTAAGTTTTTCAAATATCATAACTAAGCCAAAAATGCATTAATTTTAATTCGGAAAGCGTTTCTGTGCTAATTTTTATAGGGCTAATAAATCTGCATACTTAGTTTTAAAATTAAGGAAAAGTGAATTTTTTGTCCAATTTTGACAATTTCAACGATGTAACCCCTTATAAAATTTTGAAAAAATGTCAAAAATTTATTTTTCTACCAAACATGGCTGGATCGATTTGGCTCTTCATGCTGATCAAGAATATATATGATTTATATGGTCGGAAATGCCTGCTTCACGCGTTTCAAGCTTCTGACTGAAATTATAATACCCTACAAGGGTATAATGTTGTCGCAAAAGTTAGCGCCAAGATCAGCGCCAATATTGGTAACTAATTTATACTTAAGTTAGATTGTTAACTTTGAATATGCGTATGTAGATATCCCTAATACAAATTGCTGTATCACTTTAAATTAAAATGGAATTCATAGCAATAAGGGAATGAAATATAGCCTATATATTATATATATATGATCTAATTGTTTTAACTAAGACTTACCGCAGTAGAGGTCCCACGGTGATCGTTTTGCCTCATTGCTTAATACCTCTCAGTGTAGTTATCTTCCTTCTGGTTATCCAGATGCATTGCATTCATCAGGCAATGTAATTGAGGTCGAAGGGCACTCACTATCACTAAGCACCATAGATGTAAACAGCAGGAGGGGCGCGAACAGAATGAGGCCAGCGCGAAGGCAGCGCCTGTATTTATACTCCCCGAGTAGAGAGAGCAGAGAAAGTGAGAGCAGAGAAAGTGAGAGAGCAAGAGGCATCTCTAGAGATACACAGATAGCCAAACCGATAGAGCGAGAGAAGGAGTGATAGTGAAAGGGAGAGTGAGAGTGTGAGTGGGAGGAAGCGAGAGAACGAGAGGGCGAGGGATTTACAGTCGTACACTCACTGTTTTGCATTTTCCATTACATTTAACGATCGTTTCCTTGGCAGCTATATAATATAGTCTCCCGATTCTAATACAACTAAAAGCTAATTTAAAATTAAATTAATTAAAATAATAAAAAAGGACTTTATACTAAAATAAAATACAAATATGTTGATTAAATCAAGAATATATATACTGTATATGATCGGAAATGACTCCTTCACTGCTTTGCCAACTTCTGACTAACATTATAATACTGTTTAAAAGTATTAAAATAGATATTTAAATAAATACTTTCCTCAAAAAAGAGCATACACTTTTCTAAATAGTTTTTCAAAATACACAGCCAGCTGTGCGTTGACAATTTGGTTTTATATTCCGTTGAGCCTACACTTGAGTCTCAAGTTTCGACTTGGACTTCAGCTTTGAATGATTCGACGGGTTCTTGGCTTAAAATCAGAGTTGGCCGATGTTTCTAGTCCACATTGGTTTTAAGTTCATTGCAAACACGACTGGGTGACCGACCAAATTGGGAGGAGGCACTGCCACTGGCTTGGCCAACTCAGAGTCACAGTCATAGTCCAATAATTATCAAATGTAAGTTGAGTGTAATTAAAAGCAAATTGTTCCAAGGTTAGCCACACACACACACGCACTGGGTGAGACAGACAGGCTAGTAATCCAACTGGCAACCGTATAAATAATGAATATGTATCTTTGATTAAACATTTTCGGGCACCGAAAGTGCTTAAGTTAACTTTTATAAATAATAAATCTAAGGCTCCCGCCAGCGCCCGGTAGGTAGCCCCTTCTAAGGAAACTCCGCTTTGATGGCTGTCAGGTTCAAGCCAACTGAGAATTATAATTAGTTAGCATTCAACTTGGACGGGTTGAGTTTAAAGCTGCATTTGGCTTTAAAGCCATGTTCGCGGAAAGGAGATTAGAAAGGAGTTTTACACGTCACCGAAAGCAAAATGTTGGTCCAAGAACATTAAAAGTAGAGTATATAATTTAATATAAACTCATGAAAAGTTTCTTTAATTTAGTTTTCATTTAAGTGTTATTCACTCAGAAAAAAGTTTTCGGTAGAGCTCAAAGGTACACTTGGACAACAATTTAAATAGTGACTTTTGGAATTTAATTGAATTTTGGTTTAAAAATAGCTTAAATATGTACATTATTGGATATTTTTAAATGGTAATATTTTGTAGGAAACTCAAGACTTTCATACATCATAACTAAGTTAAAAAAGCATTTATTTTAATTCGGAAAATTGTTCTGTGCTAGTTTTTATTAGCTTAATAAATCAGCATACTAAATTTAATATGGAAAAAATTAAAGTTTTTTTCGAATTTTGAAAATTTTAACGATGTAAACCCTTATAAAAAATGATAATTTTTTCAAAAAATTGTTTTCCGCCGGACATGGCTAGATAAACTCGGCTGTTAATGCTGATCAAGAATATATATGATTTATGAAGTCGGAAATGACTCCTTCACTACTTAAGAAACTTTTTAATACAATGAAATACCCTAGAAAGCCTTAAAAATAGATAGTAAATTATTTAAAAAATACTTGCCAGTAAGAATTTTATTTATAAAGTAATATTTATAATCAAGACAGCTTTGACTATAAGCCAGGACCCAATTCATAAATGGACACATATATGGAGGAAGTCTTCATTTACTTTAATTACACTACAAAAATACTAATTAAAACTTAGTCAAACTCTGCCAATTATTCTAGTGTTTCCGTTAGTGGAAAACCCCAAAATTCCATTCTCTTACAGCTCCCAGAGCTATTATTCTCTCCCTGTTAAACCAAGCAAAAAGTAGCTTCATATCCACTTCCTTCCACAGTTCGTTTACTTAGCAAAGGAATCAATCAACATTCAGATTGGTTTACAAAATTTAAATATGTACAAAACGCAAGGTAAGCACTTCTGAGGGGAAAAAGGAAAAGGGAAACGATTATGGAAATGGAGAATGCGTAGAATGGTTCCAATGCCAGGTCAGAGAGTCGTCTTTAATGCAAAGTATAAAAAAAATTCAATTACAACTAGGTTTGAGCCACGCGAGGAACTGCCTTAGCAGGTGATTTTGGATCTAACTGATCTCGTACTGATATGCATCGTCCGAGTCCTCGCCACTGGAGAGATCTCGCTTCCGGCGACGCTGCTCCCGTTTGCTCAGCTTTTTGGTTGCAGGCGCCGCAGCTTCTTCTGGCGCTTCTGCTGGCTGGGATGGCTCCTCCTCTGGCAGCACCTCCTCGACGACGGCCACATCGTCGCTCGGCTCGTTGGCCTCCTCCTCGGCCCGCTTCTGCGTCTTGACCAGCTCGCAGAGATACTTGTAGCGCACCAGGCACTCCTCCTTGGTCTTCTCTGGCACACTGTTGGCAATCTTTTGCCAACGATCCCCACCGGCTGTCTTCCGGTACTTGACAATGGCCGCTTCAAGAGCACGCTGCTGCTCCTGCGTCCAGTTGGTCTCCGGAATGAGCATGCTCTTCTCCCCGGAGGCGGAAGTAGCTGAAGGCGCTGCCGCCGTTGTCGCAGACTTCTTGACCTTCTCCTTGCGCTGAGCCTGCTGGGACTCCTGAACAAGATTCTCGGCCACACTGTCCGTTTGGCCGGGAATCCGGTAACCATTCTCCTTCATTTTGGCCGCCATAAAGGTGACCTCCTGAACGCTGCGGTTCATGGACTCGGCAATGGTATTCCAGCGGCTACCAGCTCCACCGGGATACTTCTTGACCAGGCGAATTAGTTCGGTGAGATCCTCGTCTGTCCAGAAACCACCGCTCACAGAGCTCTGCAAAGGTCATGAGATGATATAGAGTATATTCCCTAAAAGAAATGACAAAGATATTGAACCTTTTGGGAAGCAGGACGCACGGCATCATCATCGGTCATCTCACGGGCCTGAATTTGTGAATAGCCACGCAGTTCCTCCTCGGTTTTCTCCGGGGCCTTGCTGTTCTGCTTGCGCTTCCTCAGGTTCTCCTTATGCTCCTTGCGCAGGCGTGCCTGCTCCTCGGCCTCCCGTTCCAGTTCCTCTTGGCGTCGAGCGGCCTCTAGTTCTCTGTGAATATAGATAAAAGTTCAGTTATGTTCCCCCTTTCATAATTTCTCCCAAAACTTACTGCCTGCGCTTCTCCAGTGCCAGCTCCTTGAGCTCATTGGCCTTGCTGAAGCCATTCTTGATGGTTCGTGGCATATTCCACAGTGCCAGCGGTATTTGAATGGGCAGTGTGTTGAGCAGCGAGGGCATTGGTATTTCGCTGAGTATCACATCCATGTCAATGTTCTTGTTCTTCTTTTGCAACTTCTTCAGCTTGGTGCCAAACACCTGCTCGGCGGTGTACTTCTTCTCGAGGTATGCCGCCCAGGCGAACAGATACTGGCCCACGGTGATGATTAGGAACAGGATGAAGGCACCCTCATATAGGCCAATCTTGCGCATGCGACGATAGTAATACAATGCTGACTTCCAGTTGGGCATGCCCTCCTTGAGCACCCGGTCGTACTTCTCCCGCCGCGATGGATCCTTGAGGACCTCGTAGATGGAGACTAAGTTGCGAAACTGAATGTTGGCATCTTCGGCGGGATTCTTGTCCGGATGCAGGACAATCGAGAGTGTGCGAAAGGCACGCTTCACCTCTGCCCCGGTGGCTGTTTGATTGATTCCCATGAATTCGTAAAAGTTGCGATTCACTTCCTCCACCAAATCGAAGATCTCCAGCTCCTCGGAGTGCCAGGCGTGGGCGCTGCCGCTCCACAGCAGCAGGCTGCCCAGCAGCATGCACCACATAGCTTCCACACGCATCGCAGTTCCTTTCGTGTTCCGGTCGAAATCCAAGTCGAAATTCCGAAATCCTTTTTTTTATATTTTTTGCGGCAGACCCACGCACGCACAAACACACATACACACACACACTTACACACAGCAGAGCTGAAACGGACACACAGCTGGCAAGTGGCAACGTCAGCAGGCGAGAGGGGATGGTGTGTTGCCAGATGATTGCCACTCATTTAGCGGGAAAACAGCCAAGAAATTTGGGGAAATAGCTAGAAAATATTTCAAAAATTTAACATTTTCACATTATGTCATTTGTTTTTTGTATAAGTTTGTGCATAATTAATAATTCAGTTCGCCACTATGACAATTACTCTGTACAAACATTAAGCTTTCACATTTAATATACTTGCAACGCGTAACATAAGTCAAAGCAGATAAACAAGACAATTCTATATATATATTTAGTTTATACAAAATAACCGTGTTATACAATTTGAGGAATATATTTTCTAAATTACAAGGATTAGAAACAAATTGTCTAGGCATTATATTGTAAGTCTTTGGAATTTTTATAGCCTTGTAAATGTGTGAAGGTGTTATTTCCGACCCTATAAACCATATATATTCTTGATCAGCATCAAAAGCCGAACTCATCTAGCCAAGTCTGAGAAAAAAATAAATTTTTAAAAATTTTTCACTAAAATTTTCAAAAATTTTAATTTTTTTACATTTTCAATTGAGTATGCAGATTAAATAATCTAATAAAAACTAACATAAGACTACTTTCCGAATTAAAATTAATGATTTGTTGGCGTAATTATGAGTTTTTTAAAGATTGATTTGTCAACAATAAAATAAAAAAATCGACCATTAAAGATTCAAAGAAAGTTAATATTCGATCTAATAATTTCATTGCAAACTGCCAGAGTCAGTTTATTATTCATATTTTAAAATAAGTTATTTTTAAATACAGCCTAGGTGGGGAGCAGTATCGATAAGTTCCACCGGCATTGAGGACATTGTGTGGCCAGACTTTTCCGAGGTATTTTCAAACGGGCGCACAACAGTCACACTAAAGAAAAGCCAATAAAGAATCGGAATTGCGAATTGCCATTTGTGATTTTGGCTTGAATCAACAAACAATGAAGCTGCTTCCATTGCTTTGGCTGCTGTGCGGCCTGCTCCTGGTAGTCGCTGACCAGGATCCACCGGTTGCCTCGACGCCCAAGGCACCCATCGCTGTGAATGCCACTGCTGTGAAATCGGGAAATGTCACTTCAGCTGCTGCTGGTGCAACAGGAATTCCCATTGCTGAAGGATTGCCTGGAGTTAAGGCTCAGACCAACAACCAATCGCCGACTAAGGCCACCAAGATTGAGCAGCAGCCAAAGGAAGCTGAAAAGGCACCGGCAGTGCCGGAGAATGTGGCAAAGAACAGGAAGCGCACGGATACGGACAATCCGAAGCCTGCAGGAAATGCCACAGTAACTGCCGCGACACCCAAGCCGGTGGGAGTGGAGTCGAAGCCCAGTACACCTGCAGCTGCAGCAGCGGCACCGGCAGCAGCACCTGCACCAGCATCAGCACCAGCACCTGCAGCATCTTCCTCTAAACCAAATGCAAACGATACGAAGGCGGCCAAGACTGCAACCACGAATACGGCCAAACCGACTGCAGGATCACCGATTGTGTCAGAGGGTCAATCAATGAAGGATGTCACCAAGGCGAACAATGCAACTGGCCACCTGGGCAGCAACAACAGCACCATCATCACCACCACGGTAGCCACTAAGACCACCAGTAAGACCACGCCTAAACCCACTAAGCCACCGGTGGTCTATAGCATGGACACGCACACCGAATGGGAGGAGAAACAGGAGCAGGGCAAGGCCGGGGATAAGTTGCCATTGCCCAAACCCGCCTCCACTCTGGCAGATCCAGTAATGCCACAGGTGCAGGAGCTAACCGGAACGCTTTCCGATCGTGGTGACACCAGCTATGTGGTGCCAATTGTGACGGTGCTACTGACCGTGCCCCTGGCCATTGGTGTGGTGACCATCATGTATCGCCGCTTCCGCGACATGTGGAGCACTCGCCACTATCGTCGCATGGACTTCCTTGTGGATGGCATGTACAACGACTGACGAAGGCGTGGTCAGAACGGCAAAAGCGGCTGCGGCGGTGGCGGCGGCTCCTTCTCCTCCTCATCGGCGCCAGGAACGCCACGAATTTGTTAACCCCCGCTCGAGGAGGAGTGAAAGCCATTTGATAATTAGTTGTTAAAGTTGTACGTGTTGACTCGATGCTTGCATCAAATGCAAGACCTCTTGATCCGACGCACGAAGGAGTGAGAGTGAGAGGATGGAACTGGAGGAGAACTAGGATATTGCTCAGTCAATTAAAAACGAAAGCTATCGAAGGAAGAATGTGGAATTCATCGAAATTATAGCATGGCTAGGGGAATTCCCCTCTCCAAGCGGCCAAAATTTTAAAGTGAAACTGATTTTAAAAGCAAAATTAATATGTCGGATTTCTTCTTTTTTTTGTGTACATTTCTAAGCATTTGGATTTATAAAGCATTTCTACCGAATAAGAAAAAATTAACGCATAGATATACATTTATATATGTATATACTTAGAGAGAGACTACTACTATATACACCAGATATTATATTATTCGAAGCTGCGACCAAATTGTATCGAACTATCATCCATCAAGCGCAATTAGCAATCACACTCATTCAATTTAGGATCTAAACGTTAACCGTAAAGTGCCTTACGAATCATCAATATATATATATATATATATATACAGTATCTGATACCAGCTCCATTGCGAAAGGACTTTCTCTTGATGCTTTCGAGATGAATTCTCCGCATTTACTTAACTCAAAAAATCAGAAGCAGCAGAAACCAAAAGAAAACAAAACTCAACTCACAAGCAATTGGCCTGAAACAAGCGAAATTAATAACATTACGATATATAAATATATTTAGTATATACATATATTTTTGTTGTTATCAAATGTAACAATTACAATAAAGCGAAAGGCAGTCAAATCAAATTTCAAGTGAACTGTGCCAATGTGTTTTTTATGTTTAATTCAACAGAAATTTATATACATACATATACAATGTACGTGGTTTTTGCAATAACATCCGACTTATTTACGCTTGCAGCTTGAGTTTTCATAAAGCTGATTAAGCATAAGGTGTAACTTAATAATCTCTGCCAGCAGTGCTTATCGCATATGAATAGTTCAAGGGAATTTCTTGCAGTTGTTGAAAGCCCAGCATCCACTTTTATATTTGTTTTGGAGTCTGTAGGGATTAATATATGATATAATATATAATATTGTGAATTAAGGAAAGGTGCTTAAGAAATTATACTATATTATTATACTCTTATTCTTAAAGACATTAATAGAAGCTAAATTCACAATGGAAATACTAATAGAGAACTCTCAGAAAAACGAGAAAGAGAAAGTATTTAGATAGAAACTGCTCTTTCGATTAATTTTTTTCTAAGAAAACCAGCTTTGTATGTAACATATAAGGTTATCATTTATAGCTTCGATTTACCTAGAACCTTTGTATTTACCTTTTCAAATTTACTTGGTAACAAAGTTGTGTTCCTCAATAATAAACGGATCAGGTATTCAGAGTTAAGTGAGGTGGTCAGTTTTCCAGTAATCAACCTTAACAAGCGGCGATTAATAAATATAAATATTTAATTTCTTAACAAGACACTTAAGTTAACGATTGGATCATGGGCTCAAATGTGATATTGATCACAACAAAGCCAAAAATGCATTAAATTCAATTCGGAAGGGTTTTCTGTGCTAGTCTTTATAGGGTTAACAAATCTTCATATTTAGTTTTAAACGTAAAAATGTATTTCTTTTACAAAAATTTTAACGATGTCACCCCTTATAAAATTTTGAAAAAATGTCAAAAATGTACTTTTCTACCAGACATGATTAAATCGATTCGCCTGTTGATGCTGATCAGAATATAATTGATTTAGAGAGTCGGAAACGATTCCTTCACTGCGTTTTAAGCTTCTGACTGCAACTTTAATACCCTGCAAAGGTATAAATAATATTGTGAAATTTCTTCAATTCGTAAGCAAACATGATTAATGGTTCTCCTGTCTTAAGTATTTAAATTGTTGGTAGTAAATCTTTTGGTTAACCCATTAATGTCAGAATTTATGCTTTATGTGCGGGAAGAGATAGATCCCCACCAGATACTCTCCCTGGAGTCTGATCCCCGTGGTGATTTGTGTTTCCAGAATATGGAAACCTAAACAATTGTCCAGAGTTTCTATTTCCCATCCTCATCCCCACCCAACGCTGCCTGTGATAACAGATCACCAGCGCCTGCTCCTCTCCATGCTTGATTTAGACAAATGAGCAACAACACGGGGCCAGATGATGATGGCGTGTCCCCCAGCCTCTTCAAATATCTCACCTCACATCTCTTCCACTCTCACTTTCACTCCCACTCCCACTCTTATCCATCTAGAGGAACAAAATAAACTAAGGAGGCAGTGCTATAAGCGCTAGGTCTCTTCAATGAAGTGCCTTATAAATGATCTGCATCGCCGAAGTTGTTCGTAGTTCGTTTCAATAATTTAAACAAAAACGAAATTAACAACAAAACGATCTGCGACCTAGTGCGTGTGTGTTTGTGTAAAAAGAAAATTGGGAAAATTGAAAGAGAGAGAAAAGAAAAGATAGTGGGATATGAGATTGTGTGTCTAGGATGCAGTTTATCATGACCATTAAATATATGGACAAACAGGGTATACTGTGTATCTTTTGGGCCGGTATTTATATATATTTAAATTAATGATTTATTTAGAACTTATTTATAAATGATATGAATGAATAAATTTAATAAGTCCATTAGGTATTCAATTGTTTTGTGTTTAATATAATTATTTGCTTCTTTTAAAGCAAGGAATCTATTAAAATAAAAAAAAATTATACATAGAAAGAGACGGGAAAATACCTTCATGAACAACTTTAATATTAAAAAAAAAACTATAAACATATAAAACAAATTACAAATAAAATAATGTAATACCTATTACCTAAGGTATATTTTTTAAATGATGCTTCAACTGTGTGTGTTATAAAATGGTATTCCATTATTGGAATAGATTCGTTAACTATCTGAAATGCACTTGAAATATTTAAATAGCATTATTAATATATAACTTAATAATACAAAAATAAAACCCTTGTTTATTTAAATGCCCGTTCCCTACTTTTTTAATGCTGCTCTGTTTGTGTCTATTATGGAATGGTATTCCATTGTTGGAACGCCGCTAGCTGTTTTCCAAATTTACTTCTCAGCTTCTCTGTTCGGGATTCTCATTCGAAAACGTGCGCTGGACGCGGGCAGTTCTATCGATCGATCCGCCGTGGATTTAGAAATCTAATCTGATCGGTAAACGGTATCTAAACTGGGAAGAACATGCATCCAGCCTCGCCGCACCAGCATCGCTCGCGTCTAAATGTCGGCTCGCCGGGATCGGGTTCGGGCTCACCAAATGTCCAGGCCTCCTCCTCGACGGAGACATTTCCGCTGACACCGCAGCATCAGCATACGGTTCATATACCGCCACCCACATCATTGCCCTATCAGGGACTCAAGACCTGTAAGCTACCAAAGGGATAATATATACACTCGCGGAGAAAAGGGAAATATAACCACTAGGAATTAATGTATTTCCTAATAATATACCCTTACAGGGTATTATAATTTTAGTAAGAAGCTTGAAACTAAGTGAAGGAGGCATTTCCGACCCCATAAATCATATATATTCTTGATCACCATCAACAGCCGAAGCGATCTATCCATGTCTGGGAGAAACATTTTTTTTTTTGCAAATTTTTCAAAATTTTATAAGGGGTTACATCGTTAAAAATTTCAAAAATTGAGAAAAAATTAAAATTTTTGTACATTTTCAGTTGAGTATGCAGATTTATTAATATAGCAAAAACTAACATAAAACTGTTTTCCGAATTAAAATTAATGCTTTTTTGGCTAAGTTATGAGAATTTTAAAATTTGATCATTTGAACAATTTTCTTATGATCAGTTTCTACTTCGATCCTATAACTTTGGACTCCCTAAGTTAGTTTCTTTTCTTTTTTATTTGTTTTGTGGTGTTAAATATATTTGGTTACTTGAAAGTAAGAAAAGCCAAGAAAAGTGCTGCTTAAAAATTATTTAAAAGAACTAAAAAATATACCATGGACATTACAGAATCTGTAAAATATCTTAAACAAATTTGTTACCAAAGGAAATTAATATATATACTGCAAACAATCCAAAGGAATCCCTAAAGGTGTTCTTTAATCCCGATATTATTATGTCAATGTGTATCCTTTCTTTTCCAAATATTATTATTTGTGCTAAAAATATAGGATATTTTTTGTAAATAAAAAAAGAAAGCCTATTTCTGGACCGGATTTCCAGTTGCACGTACATACATATAACAAAAACAATTCGCTTTGATTAGCTCATAAAACTACACGCACATTGACTGCCAGATACAAATAGTTTTCCCACATGACCTCACACACAGACTCCGCCAAGACCTCCATGTGCCCCGGCAGAATAATTCATAATTTATAAAAGATATAGAAAGAGAATGTGAAATTGATGTGATATTAAATCATAACAACTACCGCGTGAGGTGAGCAATGAATCATGCCATTGAACCGAAAAATTGAGGCAGTATCTTGTGGCACTCGATCCCGATCTGAATCGAAATGGGGCAGCATATTGAATCGTATCGATCGTAGGCGACCACCTATGAAGTATGCAATATAAACTGTGCGCCGACATGTGAAAATAAATAGAGATTATTGAGCACAGCATCAGATACCAGATACCAGATTCAGACACAGATCCAGCCAGCAGATGAACCGACCTGTATCCATGATATAAATCGTGTTGTCGAAACCAGCTGTAGATAAACAGAGCAGGAAGGCAAAATACATACTCAGCTGTATGTAAACATGGGAATAAATAGTACCAGTGTTAGGTGAACATGGCCAGGCAATAAGGGAAAAGCTAAACAATTTTCAGAGATCATATTCACGAACGAGGTCTGTACCCATAAACAAAAATTCAAACTAGTCAGAGCATACAAAAACAAAAAAATTTGTAGACTGAAGAAATCCATAGTGTTTTCCCCTTGATATTTATGGAATTCTCTCTAGTACGTTTCATAGCAGATCAAAAGCAATTTGTACAAATTAATTGCCATGGAATATGCTCGAGGCAATTGAAGGAACGAGCGCCATGCCCCAAAAACTACTTTTCATAATACCAAATGAGGATAAATAAACAAACATAATATTTACAATACGAACTGATAAAAAATGTTAAAAAAGCAAATTAAAAAATTAAATACTTAGGTCAATGACTTTTAGAATTCACCAATTGGGTTATTTACTAACATAAATCTTTCTTTATATTTTTTTTTTATTACTAGCATGTACCTTTCTTTATATTTTATTTATTTGAAATGGGAATTTCCCTTTACCATACATAGAAATCGAAAATAATAACTTTACTGTACTTTAATTAATATATTTGGATAATTATATCCAGATGAAGCGATATCTTATGTTTGGGCTTAATATAGGATAAACCTATAACATATCGAAGAAATCAATTATAATATTTTTGTATAACCTTGCAGTGTATTATAATTTACTGAGAAGCTTGTAACGATATGAAGGAATCATTTCCGACCCTATAAATCTTATATATTCTTGATCAGCATGAACAGACGAATCGATCTAGCTATCCCAGACAGAAAAACATTTTTTTTTAATTTTTTTCGAAATTTTATAAGGGGTTACATCGTTAAAATTTGATAAAAATTTGAATTTTTTAACATTTTTAATTGAGTATGCAGCTTCATTAGCCTAATAAAAACTAACTTAAGACTGCTTTCCGAATCAAAATTAAAGCTTTTTTGGCTTTGTTATGAGAATTTTAAACATTGATATGTTGAAAAATTGTCATATAAAAATATAGATTAAAAAAATGAGTGTTTGTTATTATAGGTTTAGTTACCATCGGTTTCCGGATACTATATCATAACTTATGCCATAACAAGTTTAAAAACTTTAATCCAACATAACAGAATGCCAAGGAAAATGTTGCTAGGACAATGTTGCCAGGAACAAAAACCTCAGCATCATTATTGGTAACGTCCAAGATTATCATGCAAATTCACAGAAATTATCAATAAAGTCGCACCTGGACATTCTGTAGATTACAGTATCCTACACCTATTATATTAACAAACTATCAATCACAATTTCCACGTAGAAACCTGGTTGCAATATAATCTACAATGTTTCGGTAGAAATCCTCAAATTAAGTCATCGAACGGAAGTGAAATTCATATGAATTTAATTTCAAATATCAACAAGTGCTCCAGTTGGCAGCGGGAATCCGAAACGGAATCCCAAGCAATTGGATCGGACAGACGGAGCGTGCCAGGCGCGATATAGTATGATATGTTCAGATATATGTATATATTCCGCCTCGGAATCTATTTGCCAGATGTTGCCTTCGATTGCCTTTCAATTGCTTGTGAAATTCGCGATAAACAATAGGCGAAGCGAGCAACGAGGATCCCTTTCCATGTATACACTGAGAAATATGTTACAAATGATGTGTAAAATGGAAAATAAATATACACAAATAAATAAATAAATAAAGAATGGAAATATAGTATAATTAACACCCGACTATATAGTCTAGGAGGTTTGAGGGAAGGCTCCTCTCTTAGTTTCATGATAATTCTTGTATTTTGTTTACAGCTGAAAATGATGACATGGGTTGTGTGGAGATCCTGGCCACGGTGGTCTCCGTGCTGATCATGGTCCTCACCTTCCCCATCTCGGTATTCATCTGCTTCAAGGTTGTCTCCGAGTATGAAAGGGCGGTGATCTTTAGGATGGGTCGACTTCGCAGTGGCGGAGCCCGTGGTCCTGGTGTATTCTTCGTCCTGCCCTGCGTGGATGATTATTATCCGGTGGACCTGCGCACTGTCTCCTTCGATGTGCCGCCACAGGAGGTGCTCTCCAAGGACTCGGTGACGGTTACTGTGGATGCGGTAGTCTACTATCGCATCAGTGATCCCTTAAAGGCGGTAATACAGGTGTATAACTATAGTCACTCCACGAGCCTGCTGGCAGCCACCACACTCCGCAATGTCCTTGGCACCAGGAATCTCTCCGAATTGCTCACCGAACGGGAGACCATATCGCACACCATGCAGATGTCCTTGGACGAGGCCACCGATCCCTGGGGCGTCAAGGTGGAGCGCGTGGAGATGTAAGTTGAAGGTTACGCTTGATTTCTCTCTCTGTAATCTATATTATATGTTTATACTTACAGCAAGGACGTCTCTCTGCCCACTGCCCTTCAGCGTGCGATGGCCGCCGAGGCGGAGGCGGCAAGGGAGGCCCGAGCCAAGGTCATAGCCGCCGAGGGTGAGATGAAATCTTCTCGGGCTCTGCGCGAAGCCTCCGAGATCATCTCGGCCAGTCCATCCGCCCTGCAGGTAAGTTATATTAATTTAAGTATTTATTTATATTTCTAAATAAAATGTCATGTATCTTAACCTCAGTTGAGATATCTGCAAACTTTGAGCAGCATTTCCACCGAAAAGAACTCCACCATTATCTTTCCCCTGCCCATGGAGCTGCTCACACCCTTCCTCAATTCCCACGCCCACTCGCAGCAACTGCAGCTGCAACATCAGCAGCAACAGCAACATCAGCAGCAGCAGCAGCAGCAGCAACACCAACACCAGCAACATGCAGCGCCTGGCACGCCCCTCCACCGGCACCAGCACCAGCACCACCAGTGACGCTCAATGTCGGTGCTGCAGCCATATCTGGAGGCACTGCATCGCTGCGAATTGCGGCGCCAGCGTCGGCAGCTGATGATTGGCGGTGCAGATGCAGTGCCCAGGCCGGATGATGATGATGATGATGACATCGTCGGTTATCTGCTGTAAGCGCAGCAACGGCAGCAGCAGCGGCAAAGTCAGCGATACTCGCGGGGATTCCCCCGGGGAAAATGATTCATCAGAGTGTTCGTATCAATGCCCTTGCTTATGGTTTCTATAGCAATTTTCCTATAAAATAGTATACTCTTTCTCAGATAAATTTGAATTTTCATTTAAAATTACTAGCTACATAAACATTAAATACTTTACTTTCTTGCAAGGGTATTATTTAAACCTTCGGATCCCGAAGTTAACTTTTTTTCTGGTTTTTGTTGTCATTTATTGTTGTAAAAAAGCACTTTTTCATTTTAGTTTTTAAGCCGAGACGTTAGTTTAATATTAAATCAATTTGATAATTAACCTTTGGATACTTGAATACGTAGAAAACAATTTTTTAAATAATAAATAATTAATATTATTTCAAAATATGAATGAAATTTGCTTCAAAAGAAAGAAGAGATATTTATTTATAAATTAATTTTTTATTGGATAATTCTACTAAATGAAGCCTTATAATTAACTTAATCTCTCTTAGTCGACTCTTAAAAATAAGCTCGCATTATTGAAACTGCAGTTTAAATTTGCATAACACGTAGAGCAAATGCGGATAAGGCCTCATATTAAATATAATACTTAAACTGCAGTCTGAATGTGACTCATCTTGTCTCGTGACCCCCCCACTTTTAATGGTATGTATAGGGTATTATAATTTTAGTCAGAAGTCTGAAAAACAGTGAAGAAGTCATTTTCGACCCTATAAATCATATATATTCTTGATCAGCATCAACAGCCGAATTGATCTAGCCAAGTCTGGGAGAAAACTATATTTTTGAATTTTTTTTTTAAATTTTATAAGGGGTTACATCGCTAAAATTTGAGAAAAATGTTATTTTTTTACACTTTCAATTGAGTATGCAGAATTATTAGCCTAATGAAAACTAACATAAGACTGTTTTCCGAATCAAAATTAAAGCATTTTTGGCTTAGTTATGAGTTTTTGAAACTTTGATTTGATCGAAAAAATTGTCATATAAAAATATTGATAAATATTTATTCAATGAAGGCGAATATTTCAATCCTATAACTGCAAGGGTATATTGACAAAATAAGCATTCTGTCTTGTTTATATTATAAAATTATAACGAAAATTATTACAATTTAATCGAGTTTTGTTTTAGCTTCGATTCTTTCGTTTCTATATCCCCTGCAGCTGAGCACTGATCGCACAATGATGAATCATTGGCGATAAATGTGCAATCTACAAAGCCGGTCTTTGTTGATATTTTCTGTATTTCCCCCCGATATTTACACTGAATGAAAAATTCCAGAGCCAAGCTTACTTGACTTTAAGAAACTCGAACTAATAATAATTATAAATTTCTTTGAAAATTAGTTATTTAGAAGAGTGTGAATGAGGTAATCCATTATCTTTATAGCAAACAACTGATCTTTACATGGCTCCAAGTCTAGTATTTTTGCAATATATTTTTCTCAATGCTCAACGGAGCGATAAATCCACACGAGATACTCGGTATCTCTGAGAACCAAACATTTATGGGTTGTGCTGTTATCGCATGTTTGTGCTTTCCGCTGGGCAGTTTGGGCTTTTACGTCTAAACCGGCGACAGTTTCGATTGCTTCGCTCAACGGAGAGGACCGCGAACGAGTGGGAATACCAAAAGCCATGGAGTCACAGCAACAGGATGTCCCAGTGTATGCCAATTACGAGGATATGCGCAACTCCGGACCGACTAGCTCCACGGCCTACATGATCAACATGGGACCCGGTGGAGTACCACCCGAGCAGCCACAGCCACGCAAGCGATCTGGAACCACTCAGCAATATCGAGGTTTCAAGACATGTAAGAAATTAGCTAGTATAATTAATTTAATATTTACAATTTGCAGCATACGGTTCTAACTGTATAATTGGAACATTAAACTGCAACAAAGTTAAGATTCCGTGACTTATTCACTATCCAAATCAGTTATAAATAGCAATATAAGTTATTTAATGAGTTCTTTAACTACTATACATGTCATTTTAGTTAAGACCCTGTTAATTTCAAAAAGCTCTTAGTACTTTATATGGACTGTATTAATTTTTTGGTAGGCTTTATCAATTGAAATCGGCAAATGGCAAGCGAAATTTCTTTGGAATCGCAGCTTTAGATTAGATTACGGTCAAACAAAAGGTGGGAGGGACTTCAGAGTCACTCGAGTGACCGCGTAAGAGTTTATTTTTTGGCAATTGCATTGGAAAAATGTTTCATACATGCAAAATCGCAAATCAATAAAACGGAACGGAATCGCCTTATCGGGTAAATAATATAATTCCAGAACATAATTGATAAAAAACCGTATAAGGGAATTATTAAGGACTAATGACCTGATACATTTTTATTATCGCACAGATAAAGCTTTGTTTATTTTATTTTTGATACAGACTATTAGCTGTAGGTTTATTCATAACTAATAAACTTTGAAAAAATCAAAAATAAATCATGATAATAAGAAGGCAAAAATTTAATGTAACTAATTTATTAATTACATAAATATTTCTGTTCCTCCTTCTGGATTTCCCTTTAGATTCTAACTATATTTCTCAATGAATGAAAGATAAGTTAACTGAAGTAGGACCCACTTCCCGGAATGAGGAAATTACATCGTGACAGAAGTACTTAAAAAAAAACGAGTTTAAACCAATCTTATCAATCGATGACTTCCAATCAACTTTGCAATAATATTGCAATGAATTTTGTTTTTTTGCCACAATTCTTTTTTTTACTTTCCTTCAGGCTCATGTATGATTTTTTTCCTGTGCACTTTGTACAAACTCCAATGGGCCTTTGTGGAGTCTTAAAGGTGGCTTATCTCATGTTCATATTTATACAGACATACATATATCTGTTTTCACTTGCAGCTGAAGTAATTACAGAGCCATAAAGAATACATATACCAGCTATATATCTCCCTGATCCATATATATCTTTTTCATTTGCAGCAGAAAACGAGCCGCGCGGCTGCATGGAGTGGCTGGTGACGCTCCTCTCCGTTCTGGTCTTCATCATCACCTCGCCCATTGCCATCTTCATTTGCTTCAAGGTGGTGGCAGAGTATGAGCGGGCCATCATCTTCCGATTGGGTCGTCTCAGTGGCGGTGCCCGTGGTCCTGGCATGTTCTTCATCCTGCCCTGCATCGATGAATACCGCAAGGTGGACCTACGCACGGTCACCTTCAATGTGCCACAGCAGGAGATGTTGACCAAGGACTCGGTGACAGTCACTGTGGATGCGGTGGTCTACTATCGCATCAGTGATCCACTCTATGCGGTGGTTCAAGTGGAGGACTATAGCTTGTCCACCCGCCTGCTGGCAGCCACCACTCTGCGGAACATTGTGGGCACCAGGAATCTCTCGGAGCTGCTCACCGAAAGGGAAATCCTTGCCCACCACATGCAGGCCACTCTGGATGAGGCCACCGAGCCCTGGGGCGTTATGGTGGAGCGCGTGGAGATGTGAGTTTCTTGTCAATGGGAGATTTTTCTTCTTAATTGATTTGAATCCACTTCCAGCAAGGATGTCTCTCTGCCTGTGTCCATGCAGAGAGCTATGGCCGCTGAAGCCGAGGCTGCCCGTGATGCCCGCGCCAAGGTGATTGCCGCCGAGGGTGAGAAGAAGTCTGCCACTGCCTTGAAGGAGGCCTCCGATGTCATATCCTCCAGTCCTTCAGCTCTGCAGGTTCGGATTCGGAGGAAGAGTCCCCTTTTGGACATTGTATAATGTTAAAGCTTTCCTTTACAGCTTCGTTACTTGCAAACTCTGAGCAGCATTTCAGCGGAGAAGAACTCCACGATTGTGTTCCCACTGCCCATGGAACTGTTGACTCCGTATCTGGCCAAATATGCACAGATGATGCCATCGCCACCACAGCTGCCGGAAAAGTCCGACGCCACGCTGATCAATGCAGCGGCCGCCTGGCCAAAGACCAATCTGTAATGAAACCCAGAGATCGTAAATATTTAGTATTTCTACCATTTTTTTTATGTAATAAAAAGTTATCAACTAAGAAGTGATAGGTATTTATTTACAAATTTCTTAAGGTCATTGTAAACCCTTGTTTTTAAAGTTAATAATATTTTAGGGAGTTTTATAGGGCAGCATACCTTCCATATTGTCTTTGGCTTTGTAGATGGAATTCCAGATCCTTAAAAAATCACAGCAAATAAACATTAGCAGGATCCACATCCAAGGAATGGGAAGCCATTTCCTTCATCTTCTTCTGGAAGCTCGCATCTCCTGCCACAATAAGGACTCGCTGTCCGGGAATGTTGGAATTGCCATGACTGGCTAACTCGGTGGCATCCAATCGGGCAACCTTGGCCACCTCCTTATAGCGAAGACTCCGCCTGAGCTCCTGACACTCTGGACCGCAGTGATCTGAACTTTGGCAAGCAGGAGAGTCACACTTTTGATGGGGCAAATAAAGACAGCTCCTGTAGTTCCAGTTCTGGCCAAACTCCAGCAACTCCTCACGGAAATAGACATGCTCCAGATCCCGGGCACACACCAAGTGCCAAATGCGACTCATATCCTCCTCGTTCTCTAGCACGGACCGAATCAGCGGCAATGTGGGTGCAATGGCCACTCCTTGGGCCACAATAAAGATGCACTTGGTCAGGCTGGAGTCATTGGTATAGTTCCCAATGGGACCACGGAACTCGAGGAGATCGTTGGGCTGCAAGACAGCCAAGTGCCTAGACATGGGACCCTCTGGCTGCAGTTTCACCAAAATCCGGAACTCTCGCCGCTGGAAATCACTCCAGTAAGGGGAATATGGACGAAGCAGGGAACCCACACGGAGCATTACATGATGTCCAGGTGGTATGTCCAGCACAGAATCCTCAACATCATCAGCTTCATCTGCAGCTCCGAAGTGCAGGAGCAGCACATGATCATCGAATCGATGGGCTTCCTTGCCAATTAAACGGAATTTTGTGTAAGCCAAGATAATGTTTCGCTTTCCAGCCAACAGGACACGCTTGCTGGGCTTGGGCTTGTTGTCCAGGATGCAGTTGGTGCAGCCATTGCCACAGCAGTCGGATGCCTGGACTTCGAACAGCTGTTGCTCCTGCCTAAGGACATTTTCCCGCTGTTGCTGCTGCTCCTCGTCGACCACCATGACGCCGGCAGTGTTGGTCAGTGCATATGTGCGAGTGTGAGCTAACCAACACTGGGAATATTTAATTTATAAACTTTACAGATAAGAGGTAATATATTTTAAATTTATTTTATTGATTAACTTCAAATTAAAATTGAAAACTATATACAAGTTTAATTAATTTTCATTTAATAGTTGGGGTAACAAATACCCGCCAACACTGACAACTTTTTCAGTGCTTAATAACGTCAATCAACCTATCGGAACATGCATCGTAATCGCTGTCAGTGTTATCGAATCGGAGCACAGGCACAACAAGACAACAACGAAGAGTAAATAACGTAAAGACAGAGGAGAAGTTGAAAAAGAACTTGGGGGGGAAAACAATAAATAAATAAGCAGACAGGCAAACGCAGCAGATTGTCTCCAAGCGGGGAGTTTCTTTGTGCCAGCCGCTAGACCTTCCGATCTTGAGGGAGAGAAAGAGGGCCAAGAGTGGAGAGAGGCAGCCGAAGTGTGTGTGTGTGTGGAGTGTGGAGTGAGGAGTGTGTGTGGACGCAGTGCGCTGGAAGAGCATGAGCAACTAGTGTCCAGTTACGGTGTCCCGTGTCCAGCCTATGTTTATCCCTCTATGGTGTCGTCAGCAACATGAACCTGGAATCGCTCTTCCGCGACTTTAATCCCTGGTGAGAAACGCTCTGGAACGGATGTTTAGTGTGCAAAACGAAGATTCCCTAATCTTTTCAAAATCTCGCAATGTTTTCCTTCTCCTGCAGCAAGTTCATCGTACACTGCAGCCTTTTCACCTTTGTCACGCTCTTTGCCCTGCGCCTGGACAACTATATTGGTAAGTATTATCTAGTTCCTGCTCCTGCAACTAATAGTATTTCCCCCTTTCGACAGATTGGCCCTTTTGGGCCATTTTTACACCGCTTTGGATATGGAAGAGCACCGCCATTCTGGGCGCCATTGTGGGTGCCATTGTCTGGTGCCGCTATCCACACTATCGCCTCGAAGGCGATGCCTATACACAGTTCAAGGCCATGCTTATATCACTGGCCCTGCACCTGATCCTATTGATGTTCGAGCTGCTGGCCTGCGATAAGTTAACCTCGGATCGTCATCTCTGGGTGCTGGTCTTTATACCTCTGATCTTTGGTTCGGTGGTCAGTGTGGGTGCCTGCGTTTGGGCCGTCAAACATGATCGCTCCTTTGAGCTGGAGCTCTTTCTGGCTGTCAATGCATTGCAGTTTGTCTCGCTGCCCCTGAAGCTGGATCGCTTTGTGTACTGGAACTGGGATGTGGTGTTTGTGCCCATGTGGATTGTGATCTGCCTGAGCCTAGTCAGCGTTCTGTACAACATCATCTTTTGCGGCATTATGATGCGAACGCCGGAGGTCTCGTTGCAGCAGAAGAAGGCGGCCCTGAATGCGGCTGTGGGTAACATATGCACGGTGCTGCCGCTGTTTTGCTTCCAGGTGAGTTCAGGTCAACTTAATAGTTACCCAACTTTCCCAGTAACTCAATTCAATCGATATTTAGGTGGTCATTTGTGACAAGCTGGATGGTGAGCTGAAATTCCCCTATGTTGTGGTTTTCTCACCTCTGTTGGTCTCCATCCTGGCGCTGATTTTCCTCAGCTTTACGGCCAAGGGGGGCAATATGTGGTGGTTTGGCATCCGTAAATCCTTTAGCCAGTTCCTCCTGTCGGCTATGCCCTTCCTGCAGGAGTATGGCAACATTAGCTATCATGCCGAGACGATCAGCAATGCTGGACAATCGGTGCCACTGGATGCCACATCCTCGTCCACGAGCACGGGGACGGGCAGCGAGCAGCTGCATGAGTTCGGGCGGCACGACAAGAAGGCCAAGAAGGCGGCCAAAAATGATATCCTCAAGCCGGTGGTGCCCTTTGTCAGCATCGATTTGCCGGACTAGACTATAAAATGGACAAGAGAGAGCACGCACTGCACATGGAGCTACAGCAAATAACAATAACCATAGCAAGAACCACGTAGAATTAAGGACAGACTCTCAGCACAAAACATATGCTCACCTTTGTTCAGGTGTTTATATTAAACATACTCCTCCCCCACCCCCCCAGTCACACTCAGACACACACACACACATACACACATCGGCCGTAGCTTTTAGACTTGTACTGAATTTTAATTGTAAGCCAAATGCTAACACCATCCACATCCCAATCATTCATCTCCTTCCGCCAGGCACTCCTAGCATATAATAGCTGTACATAAGACATATGCATATATATATATATATGACACTGGCTAAAATTCAAAATCTAGACCCAAATCGGCGCTTCATCATATTGACAAGCATACCAAAATCCTTTATCCCCTGGACACCCATCTATAATTAAACGTATATGTATGTCTGTATGTGCAAGTATTATATGTTATTATCGCTCACGCTAAATGAAATGCCGCGAGAAAAATGTGTAAATAATTTACAAATTACATGATTAAAAAAGAAAAAGAAATATCTACTTAAGTGCTTCCAAAACACACACAATATGAAAGCGGAGAGTATTTGATTATTTGTTCAGGGAAATGGAGTCCTATTTCTTATTACCATTTATCGTCAGTAGTTCTTTGATTTCAAGAGGCTTATCGACTTTACGTTGAAAGAGGTATTTTTATTTATTTCAATGGTTATTTTTTCATTTTATTAATCCTATTAATCTTACTTACTTTACTTCTAGAGAAACAATTGCATAAACAGATGCCTGATACTCTTGCCTACCACAAAGCTGAATTGGCACTGCATCCTTAAGGTCCTTCGTGTTGCACATGGAAATCCACACAAAATTCATTCAGCAGATGATAAGTCCAAAATAGGTAATCTTCCGATTTATGTGTAATCAAAGATTTATATATCGAATCAGGATGGAAGCAGTTTATTATTATTTTTGCCACCTGCATTTTTAAACAAGGTTTTTGAAAATGAAGCCTTAATTAGAGTTGTTTAATTACGATCTTGTCCGATATATATGTACATACATATACCTTAGGGACTATATTGATATCATCTAACTTATTTTCTTGATCCGCATTCACCATACATACTTATTATTGACCTAATCTCTGAAAAAAACATGAATGTTTCGAATTGTACGTATCAATAATTGTGGTATTTATCTTTATTTAAATTAGGAAGCTACAAAGTTTACAATATTTTCATAGTTAATTTGGTTTTCACATGCGTTCTGTGTTCTGTGTGTCGCCTAAAAAGTTTATGCAAAGGTAAAAAGTTGTTGCATTTTAAAACTGCTAATCGCCGCCATATAATTTGTTATTGTATATCAAAATCAATCGAAAATAGAAGCCGCTGATGGATATATCCGAACTGGAAGTACAGATCTTTTGTGAGATGCCAATGACAGAGACAGAGAGGGAGAGAGAGAGAGAGAGAGTGAGGGAATCGGAAATAGAGAGAGAGAGACATATAGCTAAACTCAGGGCATGTAAACATTAACAATAATTTATGTATATATTTGCTCGATCGCAAGGTGCTAGCGCTGGGCAACTCAACTATTGCCTAACATATATCATTCGTATGGCAAGTAAGTATATATAAATCGTGTGAGAATTAACAATTGTTTCATTGATTTAGCTACATATGTACGTGGGGTCTTCGGGGGAATACAAGTACAAAGGCTACGCTCCTCCTGGCTAAGGCTACCCAGGATGTTGCAATGCATTTCAATAATAATAATATTACTTATGGAATAAAAGCTTCCGCTTGACTCTCGTAACTCTGCTGCTCGTCTGAGTGTGTGTATAGTACAAAGTTAAATACGTAATTACTCGACAAAAAAATACCTATTTATGTATCTCTGTATGCCATAAATTATATGGTTTACAATTCGGTTAACTATAGCTAGTGGTGGTGTGTGCCACATGGAAAATGTTTGTTCGATGATCGCTCTAGAAATAGTTTCAGTTTTTGGTTTGACTTTGGATGCTGCCCCTGCCTGCCTTCATTTATTTATTTCTCTTTCGATTTGTAGTACTTTGTTTTTATTTTTTGTTGCTATTCAAATTGGCTAAAAGAACAATTGTTTATTTGCTACACCTTGTTTGTGGTCCAGTGGTCCGTACGTCTCAGCAAAACTGACACACAATATGAACAAGACAGAATTGATGAATCAGTGCTGTCACATTGTAATTTTGTGGCTAATTTTTAATTAAATTTATTGATACGAACCACTGTTTTAGTCTGTCCTCATTCCCATTCCTCATCTATGTATTTATGTAGGTTTTCTGATCCCACAAACAGTGATGGGTAAGGTACTCTATATGTTTTTCAAAGGAATATGGAAAAGTCTTGGAGACTATATAATATTTAATAATATAAAATGGAATTAAATATTTGTAGAGCTGGGATAAAACTCACTCTCACTGCATTGACTTTTTGCCATCTTTCAAAAGAAAAAGCAAACAAATGTGTATTTTCCTAAATTACAGAGATCAAGAAAGGCATAAAGCTTAGGGAAACCGAATTTTCTATACCCTTGCAGTTACCAAAGGTGTTCGAATATTAAATCTTTCATAACTTAGTCAAAAATGCATTAATTTCAAATCGGAAAGCTGTTTTATGTTAGTTTTTTTATAGTTTAACAAATCTGCGTACTGAGTTTACAAACTTTCAAAATTCAAAATTTTGGCAATTTTTGTTAATTTTAATGATGTAACCCCTTATAAAATTTTGAAAAATTTTCAAAAAATTTGTTTCCTTCAAAAATGGTCTCGATCGATTCGGCTTTTAATGCTGATCAAGAATATATATGGTTTATGGGGTCGGAAATGAGTGCTTCAGTGATTTTTAGACACTGAAACACTGCAAGGGTGTTGCGGATATTTCAAAACTGAAACTGTTTAAATCAATAATTTCCCCAGCCCTATAGAGTCTATAGTATAGACTTCCCATCACTGTTGTTTTCCCCAACTATTTGGTATATATTCTTTGTTCGTTCGTTGCCCTTAGTGTCGCAGCTTAATGTCTATTGTCTGAATTGTGTGTGGAAGGAGGAGATGGGCCAGGCCAATAAGGCCAATACTAGCCCATTCTGCTCGCTTTACATCTTGTATAAACGATATGTACTAAGTGGTAATACGATCTCTATTTTTATTTACGTTACTTTAAGTTACTTTAAATTTACTTTACTTTATTTTACTTTACTAACAAATGAAACACTCTGACGCGCTCGATTCGAAATTGACATGAGATCTGGCGAGCTACGCGATCCAGTATTGTTCGGTTTGGTTTCTGTTTCTGTTTCTGTTTCTTTTTTTTGTTTTGTTTTGTTGGGTGCACTTAGTCCTTAGTTAACTTATATATCGTGTATTCAGAATGTGTACATACTTTTTGTATATTTCTTTAATTATTATAAATCGCGGAACTCTATGGAACATTTTCACTTTCGCTTAGGTTATCATTTGGGGCTTTGGTTTCGTTTCGTTTCGTTTCGGTTGTGTAGAGAGGAGAATCGAAATACTAAATAGAAGAATTTGTTTGGGGATTTCTTGTTGATGTTGTTATTTTTTTTGTTTTTTGTTATGGAAGCGCTTAGTTTTTAAAGTTGAAGAAGTTCGTTAATTGTACGTTTCGTATGGGAATTATACACACACACACTGTGCACACATCGACGACGATGACGATGACCACTGACTCCAGATTTAGTCCTTTTTCGGGCGATTACTTAAGTACTGGGCCAGATTCTTACGGGGTCCCTGCACAATAATCATAAACTGTGAGGGGAAGTCCCAAATAATGGTGAAATGGAACAGCATGTTGGCAATGGCGATCAAGTACTCAAAGAAGGCGAACCAACTGAAGGCTATAAGGGGAGACAAGAGAAATAGGATTTAATTAAAGTGAGAAATTTCAATTAATTTAATTAATATTTTCATTAAACTCACCCAAGTCGTGACAGTAGAAACGATGTTTGGCAAAGAACACCAACAGCCCAATGGTGCTCAGAATGGAGACTATAAACAGGATCTTCTTCCATTTGATGGACTGACGCTGATTATGGCTCAGCGATTGTCCGGCATTAAGGATGCCATTCAGCTTAATTGTGGCCAACATATAGCACAACGAACAGACCATAAACGTGATGAAAATACGCTCATGGACAGCTATAAGTAAAGTTACAAGAAATTAGAATCGTATCCTTTGAAAAGGATTCAAAGCTAGACATACGATAGTTCTCCCGATTGGATATATAGGTAACACCGCCCAGGGCCGCAATCTCGATGCAATTGAGCACCAGGATCACTGTGATCAGCAGGCTGGTCTTCGGCACCAGGGCGGGACTGATCCGCTCCAGCTGCGAGCGGTAGTAATTCTTGTAGACGAAGGCTATGGGAATTCGGGGTCCAATGTGCAGCGCAATGCTAAAGCGCCAGAAGTAACGCTGCGGACTGACGCCGGTAATTGCACTTATCGAGGGTATTATGTTATAGACCTGTTTGCAAAAAGAGAACAAGAAATAAGTTACTAAGGAATTCAAGGGCTTACTTTAAGCCTTTAAATAAAACATAAGAAATCCTCGCGTGATTGTTTTTGTCTGGCTCTTAGCTTGAGTTTCAGTACCCATTCCTGATTTTTGACAGAAAACCAGTATATAAATTTAAGTAATTATAATTTATAATTGTCATAAAGTTGGACTAAGTGCTGTCATAATTTATAAGCTTCTAACGAAACAAAGTAACTAAGGCCTTTAATTTGTTCTTTTTTCAGCAAAAAGTGGATTTGCGTGTCTGTGCTTCCTCCCTGGGGAGACCACTGATTTGTTTGCCAGGGGATTAACCAAGATTGGAGGCAGATTAAACCTGGAGACACTCCTCTTTTGGATTCGCTTCTATCCAGGACAAAAACAAAACCAACTCACGCGGCAATGTGTCTCGTGTACATCATCGTACTGGAAGACGTAGGCGGTCACAAAGCACGTGAACAGCGTCACCAGGGGCAGCAGGGCGGTGACAACGCAAATCTCATGGAAGCTGGCCAAAAAGTGGATGGCAACCTTCTGCTCCTTTGGGTCCAACTGCTGCATGGAGCCAATCGTTGTTGTGCTAATCTGTAATAATATCAAGTCATTAAAATCGATTTCCGAAAAGGATTAACTCCGCTGTAACAGCATATTTGAAATACGAAAATGATTTAAAAATCAAAAAGCAAATTAATAACAATAACTATCAATGATAAAGTATGCGAATTCTACAAGTATTCAATCATTTTCGTAAAGTCACAGTGGCTTTAACCCTGGTGTAAGAGGAGACCTTGATGGATGACGAGCCTTACCTGGCAACTGGGTTAAGTTCTGTATTCGATATTGTTAAATGCACAACAACTAAAAAGCGCTAAAAACAAAGGTAAGAAACATAAGAGGTATATATATATATATTTATATATATAGGTGTAAATAAATCAATAAACAAAAGACAATAACAGGGGCGGGCAAAGGAACTATGGAACTATGCGAATGTGCCAACTGAGTATAAGCTGAATAATGCATGAGGTCCCGCATGGCATCCCAAATTGGATGAGTTGGAGTTATAAATAAACCAGTCCTTGAGCTTAACCAGGGAATGGGTCTGGGTATCAGGTCTGGGCCTGGGCTCTGGGCTCAGGGGGGTGGCAAGGCCGCCCCGCTCCTGGCAAGGCCTCTCTCATCAGCTAGCTCTCTCCGGTTGGGAGCGGAACCAGCAAAGGATTAAGGGCCAAAAATAGATGAGCTTGCCATCGCCACTCGCCTGACGTAAGCGTCATCATCATCATCATCAGAGCAGCTGCTGGCCAAAATTAATTAGCACCAAATGAATGGGAAGTTGGCTGGCGTTGTCAGCAATGAAATTGAATATGCTCTGCGATTAAATCCGAGCCGGAAGCAGAAAGCAGGAAGCGGGCGAAACGATGCGAGAGTTGTTGGTAAGAAAATTGGGAGAGCAGTCCCCAAGGACATGGCCAAAATCGAATAAATGATTAAAACCAAGAACACAACAAACAAGCGCCGCAAAAGTAAATATTACGCATTTCCCAAAAATTAGTCAGAGCCAGAAAGGAGAAAATGAATGTAGAACAACACGTGAAACGTTAAGAGACACCGCAAAAAACTATATATCTTGAAATAAATTATTCTATTACATTAAAATAATATAAATATATATAAAAAAAGTAACTACAAATCAACTTAAACTTTATATTTCTCCAGTATCAGTTTTAATTCAATAAATATGAATATAATTGGATTATTAAAACAAAGTATTTATAACTTGGAGTTCAGATTCCACCCATTTTCTTGGGGTTTAAGAGGTCCTTTTTTGATATATCGTATTTTAGGGGTGTATATCGAAAAGAAATGTTCGATTTGATATTTAAAAAATCGAATTTATAATTAAAATAGTATTTTATGAATATGTAACCAAGAAATTTGCGTTTATTATTTACTTTACTTTACTTTAATACTTTAACTTAAGACTCTTATTAAATATCTATTTTACTTCGCTTAAATTTTCATTGCAGATATGTTTTAAAAGCCGATATCAAGGATTTTGAGAGCTTAAAGTTCGTAAAGATCTCAAGGAAAATACTATTTTTTTAACAACAATTTTTCCCGCTGTGGAAAGCAAGGACCAAAAGCAGGGCGGTTGGAAATGTGAGGGTTGCTGGGGGGTGGCATGCGCGGTGGCTGCGGAAAATTACAACAAACGAGCCGAGGAGCATGGCAAATAAAACAGGCGCGCATACACACACACACCCACACACAGGGCCGCGCGGTGGCCACACTCCCACACACACACACACAGGTTTTTATGGAGAGCTCATGACGACTGTAAGGGGAGGGCGTGGGTGCGGGGGTCAGGTCACTAAGCGTGCGCTGCCTTCCGCTTAATGTTATATAATTTTTGGCCAGGCCAAACAACAAACCGTAAATATATACACACACACAACAAACACACACATGCACTGTTAAAAAAATTTCAAAAAAAAATTAAAACTATTCAGGCATTTTTAACGGGTTTTTCCCCCCCATCACGCCTCTCACCGCTGCTGTATCGGCGGTTCCGGATCCTAGGCCTAGGCCGGTGGAGGAGCAGCTGTTCCCGCCGACTCCGTCGGATCTGGATGCCGCCGCCTCCGTCTTTGCACCCTTCCCGCTATCTGACGCCGATGACGTCGCCGCGTCCATGCTCCGCTGCATTTTCTGCGTCCGTTCGCTGGTCGGTTTTGGCTATGGCTTTGGCTTTGACGTTGGCGTTGACGTTGTTGCTGCTACTGCTGGTCGTGTGCCCGTGGATGCTATTTGGCATAATTTGCATGCCCCAACGCCGCCGTAACCAGGTTATGACCGCGCGCGCGCCTCTCTCGCAACTACTGTTCCACGGGACGGGTCGTTCGTTCTGTTCTTTTCACGTTTTCCACGCTTTTCAGCGTTTTTCTCGTCTTTCTCCGGGGCTGCCACACGGGGATGGTCACACTAGCAGCCAAAAAGTTTCTCAGCCGTATACCGTTAGCTTTCGCTCAAAAATACATCGATAGCGCAAGAATCGATAGCTTTTACGACATATGCGATGTTTCCTTAAAACATTTAATGTGAAAATGTGGAAAATTGTTATGGAAAATATGCAGCGGCTCGGGAAATGCTTTATTTGCGAGTGTGTAGGAGGTATAAATAAATATTTGAATGTATTTCCTCCACTTTCTTTGATTTTATTAATATGTTTCTTCATTTAAATTTCAAGATTTTCGAATTGATCAAATTTATTTACCATAAAAAGAAAGGAAACTAACTTTGCCATGCCCTTGTAGTTATCCACTTGGATCATGAAAGCTTTCCTGTGTTAGTTTTTATTAGGTTAATTAAGCTGCATACTCAATTTGAAAAAAAATATATTTATATATATATATTAAAACATTAGTCAATTTATTTAAATTTTAGCGATGTAACCCCTAATAAAAATTTGCAAATTAAAAAAAAATAAATAATTGTTGTATTTTAAACTTGGATAAATCGATCCGGCTTTTAATTCTGATTATAGGGTCTGAAATGACTCCTTCACTCTGTTTCATGCAAAACTAATACAAATTTGCAAATTTGAAAAAGACATTTTTTTATTTAAATCGATCCGGCTTTTAATGCTGATCAAGAATATATATAGTTTGTAGGGTCGGAAACGACTCCTTCACTATGTTTTATGCAAATTTGCAAATTTCAAAAAAAAATTTTATTATTGAAATCGATCCGGCTTTTAATGCTGATCAAGAATATATATAGTTTGTAGGGTCGGAAACGACTCCTTCACTATGTTTTATGCAAATTTGCTAATTTCAAAAAAAAATTTTATTATTGAAATCGATCCGGCTTTTAATGCTGATCAAGAATATATATAGTTTGTAGGGTCGGAAACGACTCCTTCACTATGTTTTATGCAAATTTGCAAATTTCAAAAAAAAAATTTTATTATTGAAATCGATCCGGCTTTTAATGCTGATCAAAAATATATATAGTTTGTGGGGTCGGAAACGACTCCTTCACTGTGTTTTATGCAAAAACATAATTCTGTCGGTTTGCTGAATTTTCAAGCCGTTCGGCCGCTGGTCCCTTCTGAAATACCAGGCGAACAGAAAGCAGTAGACCAACGATTGGATTGTATTGGATTGTGAGTGGATCGTAAGTGGATGGTATGTGGATCGTAAGTGGATCGTATGTGGATCATATGTGGATCCTAAGTGGATCATATGTGGATCCTAAGTGGAACATATGTGGATCGTGTGTGGATCGTATCTGGATTGTACAATCCACAAATCGTCGATCTACTGCCTTCTGTTCGCCTGGTATTTCAGAAGGGACCAGCGGCCGAACGGTTCGAAAATTCAGCCAACCGACAGAATTTTGTTTTTGCATAAAACACAGTGAAGGAGTCGTTTCCGACCCCACAAACTATATATATTCTTGATCAGCATTAAAAGCCGGATCGATTTCAATAATAAAATTTTTTTTTGAAATTTGCAAATTTTTTAGGATTTTTGCATAAAACACAGTGAAGGAGTCGTTTCCGACCCCACAAACTATATATATTTTTGATCAGCATTAAAAGCCGGATCGATTTCAATAATAAAATTTTTTGAAATTTGCAATTTTTATTTGGATTTTTGCATAAAACACAGTGAAAGAGTCGTTTCCGACCCTATAAACTATATATATTCTTGATCAGCATTAAAAGCCGGATCGATTTAAATAAAAAAAATGTTTTAAAATTTACAAAATTAAGATTATATAGTTGGAGAAAGGGAGATTCAATTGGAGAAAATACACCCAACTAAAATAAACATATATGTAAGTTTGAAATTAACAATAAATATATAAAATTGTATACATATGGCTGTATCTGTTTATTTATTTATTTTTAGCCTTGGCTAATGCATCATTCAGGCACCGCCACGAGCCCCGGAATAAATATTACTTCTCTCGCCTTTGTTTTAGTTTGTGTGTTTTATTAAAAACTAGTTTTACTCTGTTACAATATGGATGTATGCATTTATTTGTTTGTTTTCGACTTCAGTGTCCCGTGTCTTTTTATACATATGATTTGAAAAAATATTCCTCACAGGAATGAGTTCGAGTGTTGGGAGGGACTCGGCTCAATGGTTATTTCCCAGAGGTTTTCTATATATATAAATTTTCTGCTGTTTCTGACCTCGGACATACTTAGCTATTTAATAAATTAATATCCCCCCCAAAGTTACGCTTTACGCGTTGCTTATCGTACGCTACAGCTTAGGTTGCTCAAACTTAAATTAGGTTCCCGGTGTAGAGTGGCGATTAGTTCCACAGCTTGCCGTCGGAAATCTCAAGGATCATCTTCTTGCGGAAGTAGTCCATGTTCTCCTGGGAGAAGGTGATCGGTGCGTCGCGCGATATGTACTCGGCGAACATGCAGCTGAAGACGCCGCAGTCGCTGCCATTGGTCTGTTGTGGCACATTCGGCACGCTCTCGATCTTGAAGTCGCTCGTATCGAAGGGCTGCTTGCGTTTGTCAAGTGACTCCTGTTGCAAGTACGACTCCAGTGCGTCCAGCACGTCCTGGTTGGGCTTGCCCATCGAGTCGTAGTAGCGAATAGTCTTGTTGCGCATGTGAATGATGGCCATGCACCAGTGGACGCCGTTACAGTGCACTGGCACCGGTATAATGTCCTTGCTGAATAGATCTACTTTGCGCGTCCAGCGCTTCACACCGGCGTGTCCGTTCTGCAGCAGGCGCGGCACAAAGAATGTATTCATCGCATAAACGCTGGGCAGCTCGCCAGAGCGTTTCTCTGAGCGCTCGGTCAGGAGGTTCATATAGAAGTTGATGACCTCATCGTTAAGCCAGCTGCTGCCGAGTAATGTGCGGATGTCGTTGCGAGTGATTTGCAGATTAAACTTGGAACTGACCACCTAAATGGGAGAAAGGCGGCAAAGAGCAGGTGAGCGGTCAACTTTAGCAATTGGCAAAGCAGAGGACTCACCTGATGAGGATTACCATTAATCAGATTGTTAAATTGGGTCATATGCTCGTCGGTGAACGGAATAAACTTAGGCTCCTTCTTTTCTTTGATTTCGTCTTCGTACTGAATTGGCTCGACAACCAGGATCGGCGTGTGAGCAATACGAAACTGGAACAACCTCGAGCGTAGGCTTTGCTCATAGTCACGGCGCATCTTCTCCGTCTTTTCAACTCTAAAATTTAGGACACAAAGGGTAAGTGGATTCAGTTGCCATGACAGATTCACGAGATACTTACTGCAATTCGACCAGTTCACGATGGCATGCTAACTCCTTGCGCCTTTTGTCACTTCTTTCCATAAACTCATCGGCGTAATTGTCCCTAAGGTAAACGCAGTTCGCTTTGCGTTTCTCCATCTCAAGCTTGTACACTGTTGAAATATCATTGTCCGAAGTCCTCGAAGGAGAAGCGCCACTGCGGAGTGCATAAAAGGAGATATTTAATTAATTCTGATCATAGGATTCATGTGAATCACTTACGTGTGGCTGGTCCGGGGAGCAGGAGCCTGTACATTGGAACTAACATTATTGGCCAGGACTACATCGGAAGCAGTTGAGCTATTAGAGGAACTCGATGTGCTCTCTGAGATGGATATTGTGGAGGCATGACTGGTAATGCTCTTGGCGCTACCGCTATCCAAGCGTTTAAGCGGCGGCGGTGCCGGCTTATTCTTCTGCTGCTCTCGATCCAGAAGCTTGGCATACTTCAAAAATTCACGGTTAGGCTGGCTACCAACCGGTTTCAGCGGCGGCGGCGGCGGCGGCTGCTGGTAATGCTGCTGCCGTGGCGGCTGTGGTCGCGGCTGCTGCTGCGGCGGCAACAGCTGTGGCCGCGATGGAGCTGGCTTATTGTTGGCCAAGATGGAACCCCAGGTGGTGGAACGGTCGGCGGATTTGTGCAGCAGCTGGAGCGGCGGCGGCTTCGATTTGTTTATAGCACGAATCGAGGATTGGTCGTGGCAAACATTGCGCAGCAAAGAGAGGTAATGCTCGCGCTCCATACGAAGATTCTCCAAATCGAGAATACTGTTCACGCGATGTACGGGCGGTCTTATGGGGCTGGGATGTCCATTCATACGGCTTTCGGGAAAGCCGTTCTGTCCCAGGCGTACGGCATCTGAATATAGCATTTGGGAGCGCATCGGCAGCGATGAGTTCGAGGTGGCGGCATCCGAGTTCATGCTGGTGCGGAGAGTCGGGGCCGGTGGTTTATAGGAAGCACCCAGGCCAAACGACGGCACCGGCTCATCGTCGTCCGACAGATCAATATTTATGTTAGATGCATTGCTGCGGACGCGCTGCTGCGTGAGCGTCGGTGCATTGAATATGGACAGCCGCTTGCAGGCTTGCTGCCGCTGATTTTCCTTCTCCCGTTCACGTTCAGCCATGGATTTATTGGGCAAGGGGTCCTCGGCAGCCTCATTCGGTATGAAGCGCGGAAAGGAGTTGTCCACGCGACGGTATTTGATCAATGGCGGTTCGTCCTCCGCAATGCTGTGTAACCAAGAAGAAAAATAATAATAAGTAAAGGTAAGGAACAATATTAACAAAATAAATTTATTTTATCAAAGTTCTTAGATATTTGATAAGGCTTTAGATGCTGACTTTGAAGTTTATAGACCAAGAGCAAGTACCAGGTGAGATCTACGATTTGGAAAAATTAAGAAAGGCATTAGAGAAAGCTAAGAAAGCCTTAGAAGTTCATCTATCATTGCTTTTTGTTTGTGAAATCAGACCAAGCTAGGTGCTAGCTTGGTTCTCGTTGCGTTGAAAGGTTACCCAAGGTATCTGCAATTACAAAACAGTCTTCCTGTTTCTCATCAGTAAATGTTCGAGCTTTGCATTGCGGAAAGTTGTTTGTCTAAAGGCTATCATGAGTTTTCTTTGCCCTTTAAGGTATTTGAATGGAGAAAATTCATGTCATGTTATGAAAATGTCATATTTGGCGTCGTATTTTAGGGTTCTTTCCGCAAGGCTTAATTATGTTGATTAAAGAGCTTGTCAAAAAAAATAGTTAATTAAGAAAAATTACTTTTGATGGATTAAAATAAAGAAAAAGGAAAGATTAGCTTAGAATTCTCACCGTCGCTTACGGCTGTTCCGCTGTTGTTGGTCCCCAATGGGACCCGATCCGGAGCCCGCCTCTTCCTGCTCCGATTTTGTGTCGTTATTGTACCAGCCGGTTATTAATTTGCGGATACGGGTCAATAGATCTAAACCCATCGGATCGGTTTGCACAATACTATTTATGTTTGTCCAAACTTTTCCCACTTTTTTGTCGAATATCGAAACGCTTTCAGTGCCCCGGATGACTTCCTCAATCACAGGCCAAGCTCCCGGATGGGGATCGTCTATTAGTTGCTCGCAGACATTGATCAGCTTTTCGCGCAGAGCTAGGAGTCCGATGATCTCCAATTGTTCCGGTTCGGGTTCGGCTCTCAGGCGTTCGCAGCTCTTGCGCAGGAACGTGACACTGTTGTGGACATTGACGGCTATGCTTTCAAGCGGGATAGAATGGGTTTCGGGTTCTGTATAGTATGCGTAGTCGCTACAATTCGCAAAGTCCAACAAAAAATTAACACGTTCAGGGTCTGGGTAATTCTCTGCTTCCAGTTGGTTTTGCTCGACGAAAAGCTCCTCCTCCTCCTGATCTGCTGATCCGAGCTGATTTTCACCTCCCAAGAATAGCTCCAGATAATAAATCAGTTGCACGTACTGCTTCAACACAAGGTCCTTCCTCTGATCTGCTGATCTGAACTGATATTGAGCTTTTAAAAACTGCTCCAGATAAGAAGTCAGTTTCTGGTACTCCTCCAACACGATGTCCTTCTCCCGATTTGCCGATCTAAACCGATTTTGAACTGCTAAAAACTGCTGCAGATAAGAAATCAGTTTCTGGTACTGATCCAGCACAAGCTTCTCCTCCTGATGAGCAGAACTGTACTGAAGTGGAAACTGCTCCAGATAAGAACTCAGTTTCTGGTACTGCTGCAGCAGGAGGTTATCCTGATTTGCTGAACCGAACCGATTTCCGTCTCTTGGCAGCTGCTTCGAGTGAGTAATCTCCTTCTGGTAGAGATCAAAGGCAAGCTCCTTCTTCTGAATTCCTAAAATGAACTGCTTTTCGGCTACTGACTGTTTCTGCTCCGGCTTGGCGACCAGTTTCTTTTCTTGATCTGCGAATTTAAACTGATCATACTCTACTGGAAACTCCACATAGTAAGGAATATTTTCCTTGCTGGTGAATTTATGTTCTTCTTCTGGTTCGGGTATTGAGTGCGCAAGAGTCGCTTGCTCGATGAGGTTTTGATTATGATCAGGAATCTGGTGTTGCTCACCATCTGGCATGTGAAAGTTATAATCGAAGCTAACTTGAAACTGCTGCTGGTCAGCTAACTCATTGGCGTAGCTCTCAATCGGGAGGTCCGTCTGGACGTAGTTCAAAAGTTCGGTGTAGTTTTCAGGTTGCGATTCTTGTGCGTATTCATCGGGCTGTATCTGGGGCTCCTCCGCCTGCTGGTAGTGTATCTGTATAGGTATGTTCCGCTGCTCTATTGCGGATGGCCGCTGCGGCTCCTGCAGTAAATCATATTGCAGCACAATGCTAGATGTGGTGTCGACAAGGTTGTAGATCTGCTGTCTCTTCTCCTGGCCAGAACTGGCGAATGTGGAAGTGTAGTCGTCTGGGAATCCAGATTCGTGTAGGCCTGCATTGGATTTTAAAGTGTACCCAATTTGGCCGATGCCATCGGGAGGCTGCGACATGCGTGTTGGGTTGCCGCTTTCTTAAACAAAAATCGTCAAAAGATCGAAGGCGTCGTGAGCGTTCGCAGAAATGCACGAAAGTGCAATTAAAGCCGGCTGACAGCCAGCCGAATGCTTCTTCCCGCTTTTCTGGCCGCCCGGAAAATTTCGCCTCCAACTGCAGCTGGTAGCCACGGAATGCCGCTCAATCGATCACTTACCGCTTGGTACGTTGCTGGACACTTTAAACGCTGACTCCAAGAACTTCCCAATTGATTTAAATGACACAGGCAGACAGACAAACTATTTTAATTCGACACCCAAGAAATTTTCGGCTTTGGCGTGCTGATGTCAGAGTGACCGTATGCAGGAATCATTAAAATACCTCTATTTAGCAGAATATACTAAAAGTATTAAGCAGCCCTGCGGCGTTGCCAGACTCTTGCATACACTCATTTATTATCGATTATTATAGCTATCGATATTTTATAGCGTGAGAATAGTTTAAAATAATGTATTTATATGTTTATTTAAACTTTAATTTAAATAAATTCACTTTAATAATTTAGTAATATGAAAACATGAAATCCAGCTGTGAATGCATTAATTTATAGAATTGATTCAACAAATAGTTGCCAACTGAATTTGACCTTCTAGCTATAGCTGTTTCGCTCTAAATCGTGCAACGCTGAAGCCAACACGAATTAAAAGCAACCAGATGCACTTATTCATTTTACGAATTCAACGTCAAAGTGCAAAAGAAAATAAGCCACTAGCATATGTAAAAATATGTAAAAATGAAATTCATTGCTTTCTTTTAGTAAATTAATAATTAGATAATAATAAAAATGAATGAATAATAAAAATATACTCTCCCCCCTTCGTTACTATCTTGACATCTAGTAGCCATCATGTTTTAGTATTTTTTTGCACGAATTGAGGAGTATTTTTGAACATTGTCATTCTGGTCACACTCTAGCTTACACCGGTATTTCATAAAAATTAACATAAAATTAAACTTTGAAGATTTATATATCAAAACCACCATGTCTGATCTCGAGAACCTAGCCGGCAATGACAAGGAGCTGCAGGAGTTCCTCATGATCGAAAAACAGAAGCAGCAGGTTAACGCACAGGTAAGCTTCACACGCAAAGAATCCGCCGCCTAAACAATAACACTACTCTTGCAGATCCATCAATTCAACGAGGTCTGCTGGGAAAAGTGCATCGGGAAGCCGAGCAACAAGCTGGACAGCGCCACCGAGACGTGCCTAAGCAACTGCGTGGACCGCTTCATCGACACCTCGCTGCTGATAACCCAGCGTTTCAGCGAGATTCTTCAGAAGCGAGGCGCGGAATAATTGGGAATCCAGAAAGTCCCACTACTTTTCCACCGTTAAACCTTCATTCAAACACAATGATTATCATGTAAGCAGCATTTTGCCTTCGTTATCCTGGATCGTGAAGCAGGTTAAAAGACGCTGTGTGCCTCCAAGGAGCTTTAAAAATTGTTGACCAAGGTTTCCAACGAACCGAACGCGTTACCCACCAATAAATTCATATTGGATGTTGATTGTTACCAATTGAACTTGTTTTTTAGATAGTTTAAAGACTAAGTAGTACCTTTTATGACGATCCAGTGGATAACTATATTTAGTATTACTATAAGTTTAGCTAATTAAGCTGTAAAGTTCCTAGTTTTGGTTGATTTTATCAAAACGGAGAACTAGAAAATACCTCAACTGAGAAACACTTCTCTTAGCGAATGGAAAGTATGTTAAAATTCAATCAAAAATCATAAAAAGCTGTATAAAACTAATTAGATTTTTTGTTATTTATTAATATCACTGCACAAGTACCACAACAACCACACCGCCGACAACATTAAGATCAACAACAAACAATAGACAGACTAGGATCCCCTTCACCTAAGTTCCGATCCTCCAGAGCATGAGATCGCGACGCGCCCTAATCTTTGCCCTGGCAGCAGAAGAAGAGGAAGTTCCACAACAACGAGCTTATTCCGTAGAGGGCACCGGCAAGGCCAACGGTGGCCTGAAACGAGTACCGCTCCACCACCCAATGGGCGAGGGCGCCCCAGAGGAGCACAAGCAGACCGTTGGTAAAGTGCACGGGTCGCCGGATGGCTGTCCAGTTGGCCCGCGTCATGCCCATCTGAAAGACAAGCTCCTGCAGAAAGGCGGTAACCACCTGGCCAAAGCCCAGCAGGACGGCGGATACGCTGAGCAACAGCTTTGACGTGGAGAAACTAATGACTGCGGAGCGAATATTATTATTTCCTATCTCTGGAAGACACTTCAAGAAAGGAGACTCACAGATTAAAGCCAGGCATTTGCAGAGGCTGCCCAGTGTGTGCCACTGTAGCTTGCGCTTGTACAGGCTCGTACCAAAGCGTGGCGTCATTAGCGAGAAGCACATCCAGGGAAAGGCCAGCAGCGAGAAGAGGAATGGTATCTCGGCGTTCTTTAGCGCATGGTGGCTAACGGCCAGACCCGGTAGCACCGTCAGGCACATCACATAGCTAAATATGTCCGCTGAGAGTAGAAGCGTGGTGGCATACAGCTGTGGCACTAGCAATGCCTGCTGCAGCGGCATGGCGATCTTGTCCAGCAGATTCCACCACAAATGCGAGGTAACCGCTCGCGACATACGACGTATACGATGCTGACAGTTCAAAGAGGTTCCAAAATCAAAGCAAACAAGAAGGACATAATGGCGTACTCACCAGATTTTCATGGTCGGGCGGCAGGGGCGAGGAGCTGCCGGTTCCCGCTCCAGTGGCCGTCGGACTTAGCGGCGTCAACGGATACAGACGTCCATTGGACAGAGACTTGTGTGAGGTCTGCGAGGCAGACATGCCGTAGTTGTCTATCGTGGCATTACTCGATCGCATCATGGACACTGTTTCGTCCTCCTCGGGTATGATCTCCATGATTTCCACACCATTGGGATTCACATATGTCACATAGGCCTCATCGGTGGCCAGCATATAGTTGCTGTGTGTATCCACCACGGCGGCGGCCACGGCTGCGCCCGGCGTTGTCGTCAGGGCGCCAATTTCGGTGGCCGGATTTCGCCATGCAAGCATATCCAAACCATCCAGTTGATCTGCCACCAAATTGGCCGCCAGAGCGGCTCTCAGCGGTAAAGCCGCAAAGCCCGTCTCCGCCTTAATCACTGAGATGCGTTTTGTGGTAAAGGCATCCTCCCGATGCTTGGTAATGATCAGACTGAGCGGTATGAGATTCACCAAGAGAGCGGACATGAGGACAATTGACTGAGCAGTGCCATACAGTGTCCGGAGGCTGGTGAAGACGAACGAGAGGAACAGCTGGCAGAAGGCCTCGCCGCACAGATGGATCGTCTTCCGCACATACTTGTCCTCCCGCGGACGCACTGCCTCCAGGATGACATGGGTCTTCCATAGGTATAAGCTAGAGCCAATGCCTGTGAAGAAATAGATGATAAATTAATGGTATTTAAATGGAATTTAATAGAAAAGGGATATAAAACTATGTTGAATGTAAGCCGACTTTACTTTATGATATTTTCGAAAGCTACTAAACTTTCTGTTTCATAAACCCATTTTGTTGTTGCCACAGATAACGGTAGCCTTGTGCTGCTACCCCATAAAAGTGAAATAAACCAATCCAAAAGCTGATAATAAAGCTGCAATATCGACCAGAGACACCTGTGGTGTGTGCGTATACGTGATATATTGCGTATACGCTGCATTATACACAAAACCTAGTTTGGATTTTCGTGTAATATTAAAGAATCTTATTCAAATTACCTGCAAAGCAGCCGTAGAAGACAATAGCCACCACTTGGGTGGTGGTGGTAACCACTATCCAGGCGGAGGAGAACAGTATGCCGGACACCATTAGCGAGACGCAGGCAATAAGTGTGGCCAGCAGGAAGACCCTGCGATATTGTGTGGTCTCTCGTGATCTGCCGCTATATTCAGTGTCCAAATGCTCCATAATGGAGCGACATAGCTCCCCGGTGGCCTGGTAAACAATGGCTGGCCAGATCCTAAGCACCAGATCCTTGTCGGACTCCACCACGTTGCCATAGAGGTAGGCGGGTGTGGCCAGGAAAGCCTGCGGAGGGGAAAGTATAATTATTTATTTATACTTATATATATTTATTAATATTATTATGCTTTTCAGAGAGTGGAAATATGTACAGGGGACCGTTACGAAAGAGTAGCTGCTATTTACGTGAATGGCAAAGCCGCAGAGCATGTACTTCTGTTGGATGTGCTTCTTGACCACTCGGCGTCGCTGGATGCCCGCGGTGGCCCGAGCTGTGGGCCGGCGAACGGCACCAGTGGCTGCCACTCCCATGCCCACACCGCCGATCGTTGTGGTGGCCATAGCTGGCTCTGGCTCTCTCCTAGCTCTCCCTCTCCTCTTGGAAAGATTCTGTTGACTAAAAACAATCCTATCCTATCCTGATCAAAGGCTCAACAAACTGCTGGTCTGCTCCCTGTGGAACTTGCGTATACACTCCGTCTAGCCGCTGGCATTCATCATTCATCCAGCAAGAAGCCAAGCAAAGCCAAAAACCAAAACCGAAACCCAAAAACCGAAACGTTTAGATATAATGGCGAACAAAAAAGACTGGCTGACGGATCCGGAGAGCCGGAGGCATGGAGACCAAACCCGGAGAGGGAGACTGATAACCATCGGAGTGCTTATCACGCCGCCAGATAGATATCTGTGTCCACACAGAGGCGCGCAAGTGTATCTGCGCAGCTGCGTATCTAAGTATCTGAGTAACCGAGCACCGGGGTATCTGGGTATCCGTGAGATTAACGTCAGATATGTAAAGCGTTTGCGTATTGCGTTTGCAATTCTGTCAGCAAGCACCGGATTATGTTTATGGCAGAGGATAATGGACGCGAAGAGGAGTAAGAGTGAGATGGATCCGGATTCCATATCACTGCAGTTTGATTGTTTGAAGGTAATTTTATGTGTATATCTATACCAGAATATAATCTACCTTAGAAGGATTTATTTGGAATATATATATACGTTTTTCTAGTGATCTTTTCTTGCCAAATTCCGGTCAAGATATACAACTTGACTAACAGAAATTTTCGTACTTGAAATACTTTAAATGTTTGGGTTTTTAGGCAGCAAAGCATTGAGTGTATATTGAATATATCATACTTTTGGGCGTTATACTTAACAAATATGGTGCGCAACAAGAAAATAAGTAAATACAAAATACCTAGCGAAAAACATAGCAAACTATAACATCCTAAAAGTGAATAAAAAGTATAAAAATTGCCACTTCATGCCAGGATTTTATTTCTTAGAGAACAAACAAATCTTACATTTGATGAAACAATTAATTATACAAAAACTATATACTATACTGTATATATACAGTTTAAGGAAGTTCTGGTATAGCTCAAGGTTCTTTTTGTCCCTTAAAAAGAGAGAGAGCTGTCCGTTAAAGGGAGAACCTTCCGCTTTATGTACCAACTGTGACAATTTTTTCAGAATTTGTATAATTACTTGTTAGATTTAAAATCTTTTAATATATTGTATTTTTCCAGAGATCATGAGGTATTTATAATATCTAGAAGTATGGCATTTTGGCTATTTCTTTTAATATTTATACTCTTGCAGTAACTATGAGTATAAGTAACTATGATCAGTAAATAACTATGATCATTAATTAACTATGATCAGTAAGTATCTATGATCAGTTAGTATCTATGACCAGTAAGTATCTATGACCAGTAAGTATCTAAGACCAGTAAGTATGTATGATCAGTTACTAACTTTGAACACTATTAAACAATGACTTGCAACTTTTGTAACACAACACATATCTGGGACTTGGCTGGCAGAAGTCACTTCGTTCCGGGGATGTTAGAACCGGTTGGGAATCATATGCACTGATGTACGAGATTTGTTTTGGAACTAAGTAAGTAAGTAACTAACTAACTCTGAGCAGTAAGTAACTCTGAACAGTAAGTATCTATGAGCAGTAAGTAACTCTGAACAGAAAGTATCTATGACCAGTAAGTAACTCTAAACAGTAAGTATCTATGACCAGTAAGTAACTCTGAACCGAAAGTATCTATGACCAGTAAGTAACTCTGAACCGAAAGTATCTATGACCAGTAAGTATGTATGATCAGTGACTAACTTTAAACACTAATAAACAATGACTTGCAACTTTTGTAACACAACACATATCTGGGACTTGGCTGGCAGAAGTCACTTCGTTCCGGGGATGTTAGAACCGGTTGGGAATCATATGCACTGATGTACGAGATTTGTTTTGGAAGTAAGTAAATAAGTTACTAAGTAACTCTGAGCAGTAAGTAACCCCGAACAGTAATTATCTATAAGCAGAAAGTAACTCTGAACAGTAAGTATCTATAAGCAGTAAGTAACTCTCAACAGTAAGTATCTATGAGCAGTAAGTAACTCTGAACAGAAAGTATCTATGACCAGTAAGATGTATGATCAGTGACTAACTTTAAACACTAATAAACAATGACTTGCAACTTTTGTAACACAACACATTTCTAAGACGTGGCCGGCAGCAGTCACTTCGTTTCGGGGATGTTAGAACAAGTTGGGAATCATATGCACTGATGTACGAGATTTGTTTTGGAACTAAGTAAATAAGTAACTAAGTAACTCTGAGCAGTAAGTAACCCGAACAGTAAGTATCTATGAGCAGTAAGTAACTCTGAACAGTAAGTATCTATGACCAGTAAGTAACTCTAAACAGTAAGTATCTATGACCAGTAAGTAACTCTGAACCGAAAGTATCTATGACCAGTAAGTATGTATGATCAGTGACTAACTTTAAACACTAATAAACAATGACTTGCAACTTTTGTAACACAACACATTTCTAAGACGTGGCCGGCAGCAGTCACTTCGTTTCGGGGATGTTAGAACAAGTTGGGAATCATATGCACTGATGTACGAGATTTGTTTTGGAACTAAGTAAATAAGTAACTAAGTAACTCTGAGCAGTAAGTAACCCCGAACAGTAAGTATCTATGAGCAGTAAGTAACTCTGAACAGTAAGTATCTATGACCAGTAAGTAACTCTAAACAGTAAGTATCTATGACCAGTAAGTAACTCTGAACCGAAAGTATCTATGACCAGTAAGTATGTATGATCAGTGACTAACTTTAAACACTAATAAACAATGACTTGCAACTTTTGTAACACAACACATATCTGGGACTTGGCTGGCAGAAGTCACTTCGTTCCGGGGATGTTAGAACCGGTTGGGAATCATATGCACTGATGTACGAGATTTGTTTTGGAAGTAAGTAAATAAGTTACTAAGTAACTCTGAGCAGTAAGTAACCCCGAACAGTAATTATCTATAAGCAGAAAGTAACTCTGAACAGTAAATATCTATGACCAGTAAGTAACTCTCAACAGTAAGTATCTATGAGCAGTAAGTAACTCTGAACAGAAAGCATCTATGACCAGTAAGTATGTATGATCAGTGACTAACTTTAAACACTAATAAACAATGACTTGCAACTTTTGTAACACAACACATTTCTAAGACGTGGCCGGCAGCAGTCACTTCGTTTCGGGGATGTTAGAACAAGTTGGGAATCATATGCACTGATGTACGAGATTTGTTTTGGAACTAAGTAAATAAGTAACTAAGTAACTCTGAGCAGTAAGTAACCCCGAACAGTAAGTATCTATGAGCAGTAAGTAACTCTGAACAGTAAGTATCTATGACCAGTAAGTAACTCTAAACAGTAAGTATCTATGACCAGTAAGTAACTCTGAACCGAAAGTATCTATGACCAGTAAGTATGTATGATCAGTGACTAACTTTAAACACTAATAAACAATGACTTGCAACTTTTGTAACACAACACATTTCTAAGACGTGGCCGGCAGCAGTCACTTCGTTTCGGGGATGTTAGAACAAGTTGGGAATCATATGCACTGATGTACGAGATTTGTTTTGGAACTAAGTAAATAAGTAACTAAGTAACTCTGAGCAGTAAGTAACCCCGAACAGTAAGTATCTATGAGCAGTAAGTAACTCTGAACAGTAAGTATCTATGACCAGTAAGTAACTCTAAACAGTAAGTATCTATGACCGGTAAGTAACTCTGAACCGAAAGTATCTATGACCAGTAAGTATGTATGATCAATGACTAACTTTAAACACTAATAAACAATGACTTGCAACTTTTGTAACACAACACATTTCTAAGACGTGGCCGGCAGCAGTCACTTCGTTTCGGGGATGTCAGAACAAGTTGGGAATCATATGCACTGATGTACGAGATTTGCTTTGGAACTAAGTAAATAAGTAACTAAGTAACTCTGAGCAGTAAGTAACCCCGAACAGTAATTATCTATAAGCAGAAAGTAACTCTGAACAGTTAGTACCTATGACCAGTAAGTAACTCTGAACAGTAAGTATCTATGAGCAGTAAGTAACTCTGAACAGTAACTATCTATGACCAGTAAGTAACTCTAAACAGTAAGTATCTATGACCAGTAAGTAACTCTGAACCGAAAGTATCTATGACCAGTAAGTATGTATGATCAGTGACTAACTTTAAACACTAATAAACAATGACTTGCAACTTTTGTAACACAACACATATCTGGGACTTGGCTGGCAGAAGTCACTTCGTTCCGGGGATGTTAGAACCGGTTGGGAATCATATGCACTGATGTACGAGATTTGTTTTGGAAGTAAGTAAATAAGTTACTAAGTAACTCTGAGCAGTAAGTAACCCCGAACAGTAATTATCTATAAGCAGAAAGTTACTCTGAACAGTAAGTATCTATAAGCAGTAAGTAACTCTCAACAGTAAGTATCTATGACCAGTAAGTAACTCTGAACCGAAAGTATCTATGACCAGTAAGATGTATGATCAGTGACTAACTTTAAACACTAATAAACAATGACTTGCAACTGTTGTAACACAACACATTTCTAAGACGTGGCCGGCAGCAGTCACTTCGTTTCGGGGATGTTAGAACAAGTTGGGAATCATATGCACTGATGTACGAGATTTGTTTTGGAACTAAGTAAATAAGTAACTAAGTAACTCTGAGCAGTAAGTAACCACGAACAGTAAGTATCTATAAGCAGTAAGTAACTCTGAACAGTAAGTATATATGACCAGTAAGTAACTCTAAACAGTAAGTATCTATGAGCAGTAAGTAACTCTGAACAGAAAGTATCTATGACCAGTAAGGATGTATGATCAGTGACTAACTTTAAACACTAATAAACAATGACTTGCAACTTTTGTAACACAACACATTTCTAAGCCGTGGCCGGCAGCAGTCACTTCGTTTCGGGGATGTTAGAACAAGTTGGGAATCATATGCACTGATGTACGAGATTTGTTTTGGAACTAAGTAAATAAGTAACTAAGTAACTCTGAGCAGTAAGTAACCCCGAACAGTAAGTATCTATGAGCAGTAAGTAACTCTAAACAGTAAGTATCTATGACCAGTAAGTAACTCTAAACAGTAAGTATCTATGACCAGTAAGTAACTCTGAACCGAAAGTATCTATGACCAGTAAGGATGTATGATCAGTGACTAACTTTAAACAC